GCAAATTTCAAAGAATTCATGTTGCTGACATTTCACAAATAATTGTTATGTTTTTTATTTTGAATGTGAATGATTGAGACTAGAGGTTGATTAATGAAAACAAGGTTGAGACATCCACGCCTGACCTAAGTTATGTGTGTGAATTCTCAAACACATTAATTTGAGAATCATGGTCACTATAAAAATAAGTTGTTCATTTTTCTCTCTTTGTCTTTATTATTCATCTTAATCTCTCACTCTCTCATGAGATCTCTCTCCCTCTTCCTCTCTCTCTCTTTCATGACATCTCTCTTTCTCTCTCTCTCTTCTACCTTAAAAATCCTTCATTTTCTCTATAAATAATCTTCTCTTTTCTTCCTTCTTTCTTCCACCCTTTGTTTTCTCCTCTTCACCTATTTTATATAAAAATATTTATATCTTTAATAGTTATAATACATGGTATTTTCTTACTTTTATTTAAAAAGTAATAAAAACTAAAATTTCTACTCATATAAGGTAGATCGAGTTTTCACAATGAATTAATTAATCTCTATGTATTCAACCTCAAGCTTACACTTATATTCAAATATTGTAAAGTTTTAATTATACGTTTTATTAGATGATGAGCATTTAAATACAACAACAAGTGCACATCACCTTCCATTATGAATCTATTATAAATAACATCTCCCCTATCTTGATGTAAACAAGATTGAGGGACATTTTTCCGTAGGAGTTGAATAGAAATTCTATTTTTTTCTTCCACGAGAAGGTCTATCTTTCTTCAAGAAACAAAAGAACTGAAATAAAATCAATATGATATCAGAGCAAATCTAGGTGTGATTGCTCCTTTCATATTATCTCTTTGTGTAGGAGATTTATGCTGCTTCTATGAGCCTCTTCTTGAGGGCTTAGGAAATCAACATCATTTTTTCATTTCTTTTAACCTCTTCTCAAGACAATTCTTTATCTTACTTTGAAGATGTAAGAGAATTATGTTTCTGCTCAATATGTAATTGTTTCTATTTCAATTGGTTGTCTTTTCTATATGTAAGGAAGAGAAACCTTAATAGGTGATGTCTCTACCACCACTATAGATGTCAATCTCATAACATCAAGACTAATGATTGAACTCTCTATCATGCCTACGAATTTAAGTTGACTAGATATAATTTCATCCAATGGTCAAAATATATTAAGGAGGTTATTACTAGCTAAGGGATGCTACATCATCTAGAGGAGACTACACTAGATCTAATGTCACAGTAATTTAAACAATGGCAAGAGGAGGATGTCTTGATAAAGACATGGATTTGTGGAACTATGATTCCCTCGATCAGTAGAGATTTTTTCTTTATGAAAACTATGAAGGACTTATGAGGAATTATACACATGAAATATTTGATGAAAAATAATGAGTCACATATGAAACGGAGATAAAATCTCAATCTATTGTTCAAGGTTCAAAATCAGTAGAGTACTTAGAAGAATTAAAAACCCTATGCCAAAAGCATGACTATTATGTTGATCTTGGGATTGAAGAACCTAATGAAATCTCTCCCTTAAGAATTTCATAGAATGAAATCATCTTTAAACTTTTGGCCAATTTGAGTCATGTTTTTTATCATATCAAATAGTAAATTCGAGGAAATGAAAGGGCACCATATCTAAATGAGGCGATATCAATCATATTAATTGAAGAGAGTCGTCAAAATATTGATGTTGTCTATTTAGGAGTCGGGGCATACAACATTTTTAGCCAAGTTAGGACACCATTAAATTAATAGAATATTCGATTCATCAATCATCATCTTTGCAAGGGAAGAACTAGATAAATGATTATAGAGATAATCTATGATGTACTTATTATATGAAACCCCATCATACCATGGAGTAATGTTATAAATTCCATGGTATACCATGGAATTTTAAGAATCAATGAATCATGTTCATATGGTAATTGATTCTTTATCCAAATAGAACTTTGAACAAATAAACCTAAGAAATGTTGATTCAACTCTGTTAGGTGAAGTAGAAAAACGTCACCTTGAAGTAGAGCATTTGAAGGTGATGGTAATGCAACATTCACTGCCCTCAATGACTCATCAAATTGGTGAGTTCCGTTATTCTCTTAGTATTCGAGCTCTATATCAAGATGTTATTAGATGTTGGGTAATAGACTTGGGAGTAACGTATCAGATGACAAATTTATCATTCTTCATCCTCATCTACAACTCATGTTCAAGTGACTGAAAAGTGTCTACTGCTGATGGCACACTTCTTATAGTCATTAGTATTGAAAACCTCACTCTTGAACCTTTAGGAATCCTCACTAAAGTTCTCCATGTTTCCAAGCTTTTCACCAATCTTATTTATGTAAAATAATTTGTTACGAACACACCTTATCATGCCTTCTTTGATGAAAATATTTGTATTATCCTTGATAAGGTCCAAAGATGAAAAATTAAAATTTTTAGAGAAAGAGGGCTATACATCTTGGAGGGATTCAACAAAAGCTGTCTTGTGGAAGTAGATCCTTTTTAGAACATCATAAGGATCTTAGCCATGTTCAAAAATTACTAGAAGTGATGGGATTATAATGAAATTTGAGCAAATACCTTACCAAGAAATTTGATATCGTGACTTTGGGTTGTCTTAAATATTTTATAAGTATTGAGGTGATTCATTCTTTTAAGAATATATTTACCTCTCAATGAAAGTATGTGGCATATCATATAAAAGATATTGGAAAGTCTGCATGCAACATTAGCCAACAACCCTCTTGATCCTAACAACAAACTTTGTGTTGGTGAATGAGAGTAGTCTATTGATTGAGAAATGTATCAATGTCTTATTGGATGATTAATATTATCTTATACACACTAGACCTGACATATCTTATGTAGTTAGTCTCTAAAGTCAGTTCACGCATCAGCCAACTGAATTCCATCTTCATGTTGCCTATCAAGTGTTACACTACTTAAAGAAAACTCTTAGAAAAGGCATTCTCTTCAAACATAGTGATAAATTAATAGTTGAGATGTATATTGATGCTAATTATGCTAGTTCTCCCTTAGATTGCTAGTCAACTTAAGCCCTTGCGATGTTTATAGGAAGAAATTTAGTTACTTAGGACAACAAGAAATGAATTGTTATTGCTCGCTCAAGTATAGAAACATAATTTAAAGCATTGCACATGAAATATGTAAAACTACTTTGGGTGAAGATTTTATTCACTCACCTAAAGATTTCTTCTTTTAGGCCTTTTAAAGTTCTATTGTGACTAGAAATTTGCAAACAATTTTCTGTGCAATCTGATCCAACATGATTACACAAAGCATGTGGAGATCAAAAATCATTTTATCAAAAAAAACTTTGATTTTAAAGAAATTTGTATTCCCTATATCTCCACTCAACGTCAATTAGCTGTTTTACAAATAAAGGGTGTCTCTAGTATTTGACTACAACAAGTGATCTCCATGTTAGGAATGAATGATATCCACTCACCAACTTGAAGGGAGTGTTAAATACTATGTAAATATTACCTCAGTTGTTGAGTTAGAATATATCACGTGCTTCACTTAAAGAAGCATATGAACATCACATGTTTGTCACTAGATGTAAGGCTTTGTGTTTGGAACCTTCCCCCATAAATTTGTTATAAAAACAGACCCTGTCTTGATGTAAAAAAGATTGAAGTACATTTTTCCTTGAGAGTTGAATAGAAATTCTCTTTTTCCCTTCCACAAGAACCTTTATCATTCTTCAAGGCATGAAGGAACTAGAAGAAAAACAATAGTTTTGAGTGCCTACCATCAATTGCCTTGTAATAAGTTTCCAACCTCTTTCTCTCTCTCTCTCTTGATATCTATATATATATATATATATATATATATATATATATATATATATGGCACAAAGTTACAAAAGGTAGAAAATCAAGCCTTGAACCAACAAGGCAAGAAATTTGAAATGAGGGAATAATGAAAATTGAACCTTAAATCCACAATACATGAATCTTCACTATCTTTAAATCTACAATTATTACTTTTTAGATGATTCTTGAATCGACAATGATCAGAAAAGATGCCCCTTCAATCAACAACTTGTGGGAAAAAAAGCCCCTTAAATCTACAAGCACTCAAAACCTCACAAATAGAAGGAAAGTTCATAATTTTCATCTCCATTGGATTTGCAATACATGAACCTTAAGTGATCCTTTCTGGCACATAAACACATCAGGTTTACATACACCATCAGCCCCTTAAGATATTGTGGTGTACCTCAATTCTCAGTGAGCGATTCTAACGAATCAGCCACAGATATCATGAAGCACATGGGACGATTTACACTGGCCTGGCCACAGCCAAAATGTAGGGAATGCCCACCAGAAGACTTGGAACAGCCCCAAATCCCAACATATCAGCCAATAGTTCAATGCCTCGTCATCAGCCATCCCCTCATGCTGTCAGGGTTCCCACACTGGCTCAGAGTCTCCAGTACAGCTCTTGAGACAAGCCACAGAAACATGGCGGTGCATGAGAACTGTTGTAGCCCCTGCAAGAGAGAAATGAATCTGGTCAGCGGAGCAGAGATCTCACTGAGAATTGAATCTGATCACCTTTATGGATTAAGACTTCTCCAACCGCAGATTTCCCTGACTAATTGATTCAAATGGAACACAGCTATGCATTTATCCATTATTAATAGAAATCGGATAAGGTATCTTAGTATCCAGATATAGTCTTTCCTTCTAGGGTCAATAAATGGGACAGCTAAGACAGCGTGCGGAACGAATTGCACAGGAAGAAATTGAAGTTAGTAAAAATAAAATAATGATGGTACAGATGGGGAAAGCAGAGCTGGTAGACATGGTTAATTGCGTGATCAAACTTTACGAAAATGGAACGAGGCATTTATAATAGGAGGCTGCTAACCCCAACTTCGTCTATCACCGTATATACCATGTAGTTTTTTCAGTGGGAGAAGGTAGCTTGAGTATCCAACATCAAGGTTATCATTCAAAAGCGCCTTGATTTCTGCTGGGGAGGGTATCCTTGATTCTGCATTCCCATTCCAGGGTCTTTTCTTCTCAACTGCTGTGGAATAAGATGCAAGTTAGGTGATGAGAGAAATGGGTATCTAAATATCAGTCAGTTGCAGATTCGCTGACGTTAGATACCTGTTGATGAGCAGCCTGGGCAGCGGCAGCTCGTTGTATTGGAATTCCGCCTGGATTCAGACCACTCATGTCAGCTTGTGAAGGAATGCCGTAGGCCGTCATGCCTGAAGCTGGCATCCTCTGCATGCCCACCATGGGCATCGGACGAGGGACCCCTCTGGGATTACCAACAGGCCCAACCCCTATGCTTCCCACAGCATTTCCAGATGACGCCTGAAAGTGTGAAATTCCAGTGAACAACAGGATTTTTTTCATGAATGGAGTGTAGCAGTCGTTCTGAGGCATAAGCGATGTTCATTAATAAAATTATTCAAGACGAGTGTCCTAGGGAGGAACAATCAAGGGCCTAGAAATATGGTAAGTCCATTCTTAGATATTTAAGGGACTTGAGGCTCATAAGCAATTCTTAGAGATGGGTTGGCCCTTCTCCTGCTCATTTCTTCATCAGTTTTTCCTGTTTTTAGGGCAAGGAGCATTATCAATGCTTATAAGAATTCTAGAGCAAAATCTTTCTAGTGCAAAATCTTTCTTCATAATAAATTTCATGGATTTTGAATATAGTCAGCCCCAAAGTCCAACAAATAAAATACTACATGAGCGAACATCTAGTGACATGTGGAGAATGCTAGAAGAACGACTACTACATTGATAAACTTGTTAGCTAGCTAAACGTTGTAAGCCAGTCTTTTTCCAACTGTTGTAACTTGGGGGGCCCTTTAACCTAAGAGGACTGCCATGAGAAAGAGTCAATTCAGTTTTATTTCACATTCTCCCTCATTCCACTCGTCCCTTGCCCTCTATTCTCATTCTGCCCCTTCCTCTTGGTTCTCTACAATTGTTCTGCTCATCTCTTTGTTGGTGCTTTTCAAGAAGAAAGTTACCAAAGACATATAAAATTAGCTATATTTTGATGCCAAACACAGGCATTATAAGTATTACAAGCAAAACTGCACTTTATTCTGATCATATATCTTCTTGCACCAACATACACTCATCTCCAGAAACGAGAAACCAAAGCCGCAACTAGATATCTACACCATTATTTACGTTCCTATTAGTACTTTTTTCAAGGAAAGAATAGCATTCTCCGAAGAGTATCCAAAATTTGTGCCATACCGGTTGAGAAGACTGGACACTTGCTGTTCCTTCAAAATCTGTAGTGGTGTCCACTGGTCTTGCCGGGTAGTTCACCACTTTTTCTCCTGGTTGGGTAGGTACCAGTGCACTGAGCATTGATGACACATTTTATCTGATCACATTAATAGAATGTGGAGGAATATATGCTTTATATACCCTGAGATTCTACTCATAAATAAACTGTTCAATACCCAAGGTGATTGATGGACTATAAACCAGATATAAGGAAATAAAGTAGAAGAGATTAACTTACTTGCGCCCTGGTTGCGGATCAATTCGAAAATACCTGAAGAGCAGAATAAAATGACATAACCAACCATGTCAAACACGAAAGTGCCTTTATTCAGAAAGACAAACCCAAGTGAAAATATAGACCCAAGCAAAGTGTCCTCATTCTGCCCTCCCAGTCGGAAACTGGATCTAGTTCCAGTAATGTGCATAGTTTTAATACACTGTTTTTGTTGACATCAAACTTCGTGGTAATTATCCGAGCATGCATGGATATTTTGAAATTAATTGCAATTACCACATAAAAACATAGCAAGGCTTCAGAAGATCCTATCCAAAAACAATTGCAGCCAGAAAGTTTAACAAGAGAAATATAGGTAATGTCATAAGAAGAAAACAGAAGCATTACTCATGCTCCAGCGCTTGGGATGCAGTTATACGCTTACGAGGATCATATCTGCAGAGAAATAAATAGTGTGGTGTTAAAGGCAGTTCACGTCTAAATTTTTGAAACATGTCAACAAAGGAGAAAATATTAAATTTATATGTGATAGCAAAAAATGTTAAGATACTGAAATGACGAGAGAGAAAGCAGCTGAAAAATAACAACTCTTTTTAATCTACGCCCACAAATGATAAAAGGAACAAGATTTGCAAAAGTTCATAAGAAGGCGTACTCAAGCATCTTGGAAAGTAAATCATAGGCGGGGCTCTTTGGTGGCAGATGAACATAGGTATGTAGGCCAGGATTATCACTGCACTTTGAAAGAAGAAACTTACAAATTAAAATCGAACTCAATCAGATCAAAACTAAAAGAAAAATAACGAAACGTACTATTTGTGTCCCTGGATATGCTGTTGATCATTTTGCCAGTACGGAAGATTTACTAAAGTTGGCCACCTCTCTGGTGTGGGGTGCCCTGGTACAAAAACGGGTAACATGAGTATTTACATAGCAAACTAAACAAACAAAAAATCAACGAGATAATTTCATACCTAAGACCTTAAATATTTTGTCAAGTTGATCCAGCTGGAAAAGGTTGCACGTTGGAAAACACAGAAAAGTTTAAAAGTTGTCACAGATGGCACGTTCAATGAGTATACCCACATGACGGCGAACAAAAGCTGCAAACTCAGCATTAAAAAGAAACTAACCTGAAATGGATTTTGAGCAGCTTTGACTTCCACCCCTTGAAATAGAGGCTTTAACGTCAGCAACTCAGCAAAAATGCACCCAACCGCCCAGATATCTAATTACATTTTAAGGAAGAAATTTTGCATTGAAATATAGAAAAGTATTCAATTTGAATAATGGGCCATATGCGTGATTGATCCACAAAAGATCAAACATTCTTGTCTTTAGCACCAGGATACCAACAGCACTTGTGTAGTGTTTTGCCCCAAGAAGCAGCTCAGGAGCACGATACCAAATGGTCACAACTACCTGTCAGAGTAAGCACCACACATCATTGCACATTAAGAAATCCCCAAAAAGTAATGGGGAATGGATGAATTGATTATTTACAAGGGTCAAAATAACAGACGTCAATGAACAGTTCATGAATAAGGCAGATATTGAAGAATACACTGGTTCTTAGTTTCAAAAACGCTCACAGAAGTACTTGTTAGGCCATTGAAAACAGGTCATTGTCAAATAAGATCATGGTGGGGAAATAAATACAGATCTATATGGCATTCCTATTAATATTTCACATTCAATCAATCATCAATCATACAAGAAACTAACCACTCCCCAAAAAATCTTGAATCGATATAGGAAAATGCACTGTCTAAGAGAGGAAAAATGAACACGAGAGTTCTATTGTCCATCGAAACTAGAAATGAACTCTTACACTTCCTACGGTGTATGCTAAAGATCAAAAGTGAGAGTATTTAATTCGCAATGGAATTAATAGATCCGAAAAAATAACTAAAAAATATCAACTGATCCCTTGACAAGGAAATGATAGACAATCTGATTTCAGTAGTCAAGGAGAATTAACAAACATAAAACATAATTTCTCTTACCCCATTTTCTGATAAGGGTTTCAATGGAGCATGATATATTCTGGCAAGTCCAAAATCGGCAATTTTAACAATTCCATGTTCATCTCCTTCGCCCATAACCTGAGTCGTCACAAAGCTCATGAAACGGTTCTAATGATTGATGTTTGAACGAGCATAAATAACATTTTAATTGCTAATCAATGGACTATACCAGTATATTAGATGGTTTGAGGTCTCGATGTATGATCCAATTGCTGTTGAAATAGAAAAAAGCAAGGCATAGAGGAGGTGGTCAGTAGAATCATAAAATACTTGTGCAAAACCAAAATATATCAACTCAATAACTATCCATATTAAGAGCACAAAAAAAACAGTCATTCAAGTTGGCACAGAAAAATATAAATCACACCTGTGAAGGTAGTTGAGTCCATTTAGTAGTTGCCATAGAAGTGACTTAACTGTGTACTGGTTAATTTGATGGTTAACCTTTTCTCTATGGTGTCTGATAATTTCCTGTTTCAGCAAGTGACAGAAATTTATGGAGAGGTTAACAAACAAGAGAGCACAAAAAACGCAGATGATTCCCCAACATCTAAAGATTATGCGCTGAAAAACTCGTGTTTAAGAAACAGCCCAGGCTAATGAGAACTAAAGTTCTGGCTGGCAATTCCCAAATTATAATTACGACAAGAATGCAGGCATTCAAGAGGAAATTTCTATTCATGATAAGACATGACAAAAAGAGCTGAAAGGAATTTATTGATTACTGTGAATCAAATCATATGACTCGGACATAATGGAAGCATCTGTGGCGCACAAAACTCATGGAGAATAAAAAGATCAGAATTAAAGCCCAACGCAGAAAATAGAGTAAGGGAAATTCATGCTCTGTTCTGGGTGATGTCCATTCGAGGAAACCACAGACTTTCGATAATAAAAGTAGCTCAAGGAATAAAAACACAGAAACTAACAAGAAGAATAGACACCTCAAACTACGTATCTGTTATATTCATTTGTATAAGAAAAGCTTAGACCTTTTCTTGCATCAAACTATGTTGACCATCTACAAACTAGCTGATTTCCAACACTATAACCCTACAACAATCTCAACTACCCTTCTTGGGGGAGGAATACGTTCCTGATAAATAAGAGTTGCTGTAACAAATTTTGCTTAATAATTATTTGAGGAAAAGGCATGTTGGATCTATTAATGACAGAAATTAAGCATCATGGACAAACAAACAAAGTTAAAAACCATTGGATACAGCGTATTTAAGGTAAATTAAAGCCTTTGAGGAGGGGAAATAGTCTGGCGTACATAAAGGTCATGCTCAGCATAGTCAAATGCAAGATATAGTGACATGTCAACGTGGTTAATATGCACATTCACTAGCTTGACGACATTTTCATGTGAAATTTCACGAAGCAACTGCACCACAAAAAAACATCACAAAGAAGGTTAGACATATTACTCAGGAAAATATAAATGTTGACAAAATCATCTGATAGGTTGCACCCTCCATCAATATTACATAGAATATGTAAATGATAAGACAACAGTCAAAAAAAAGTTCTAGAGAACTGATAAAAATCTAGAGACTGGAATATTGTGAAAGGTTAGAAATATAAATCTAGAGAACTGAACTGAACTGAAAAAAATAATCTTCCAGGAAACACAAAACACTGATCATTCACATTTCAAACCAAACCCTGATAATATACTATCTATACAAAAAATATATTTTATCCACTCGCGTGATTATTTCAAATTCCATCTTTTTTTCGTGATATATTTAAAATCCTGTGTGAAAAATTGAATCTTATATGGCATATATTTCACAATGCAGCACGAGAAAAGTTCGTATTTAGAACAAGACTAGAATAAAAGAGAGAAAAAACAGGACCAAGTGACTGGTAGTTGAAAGCAAACTCAACCCAAGCTTAGAACCAAAGGTTTCAGAAATTTTCCTCAGTGAAATTGGCAGCAATTAGGATGCCAGGCAGGGTATGTGTTTAAAGGGATGATTAAATTATAGACAGTAGATAAGGATGATTAAATTATAGACAGTAGATAACTATCTTTTTTAAAAGAAAATAAAAATCGATGCACAGGTGCATTCAGAAAAGAACCCTCTGTAGAACAGCTCATTAATCTGAACCAAGGAGATGAAAAATATGTTAAACACTCATCTATCTAAACTGAAAGAGTACATTACTTTCTGACTTCTGCAAGTACCCCATACATTACCCATCTTCATCTCCATTAGCTGTTACATTCTATGCAAGCCACGACACTTTTTGGTCCACTTTCAGGGGCATGTACTCGAATATTTATGGAGTTACTCCGGCATTTATTATCTAAAACTCCACATCCAATGGACAAATATGTTCATGTACCCAACTGATCACCAATGAGAAATCTCACATTTAATACGCCAAAAACAAAAAATCCTAACCATGATTGGGTCAAGACAATCTGATGAGCCGGAATCTTTTATCGTTGTTTATATAACTATTGCCCTTGCTGGGGAGTCAGATATAAAAGGCTTCAATGCAAAATTTTGCAAGGGTAAAGAGAAGAGAGAGAGAGAGAGAGAGAGAGAGAGAGATCAAATCTCCCCTCTTCCCTCTCCTTTTCCTTTTCTTCTCTCAAACTTTCATGTCAATTCCCTTAAAAAACTTGATGTCAAGGTTTACACAGTGTAGTTTCTCACTCTAGTCAGATAACAGTATAAAGCCAGTTTATCAAAAAAACATTAGAGATAGCCGAGGTTGCATGATAGCTCACGAATGGAAGACTCTTTCCCAGAAGTGCCAAAAGTGCATTCACAAGATGGAGCGCCAAGTAATTCATGAGTGTACCGTGTCCAAGGTAATATTTTCTCCCCGAGATTCAAGAAGACTAACTTCAAGAAAAGGGAACCACCGAATGAAGGAGTTGAAAAACACTAGAGATAGCCAAGGTTGCATGATAGCCCACTAATGGAATACTATTTTCCATAAGTGCCGAAAGTTGCGTTCAAAACATGGAGCGAACAGTGATTCTCGAGTATACCGTGTCCAAAGTGATCTTCTCTCACCGGGATTCAAGAAGAGAAACTTAAAGAAAATGGAACCACCGAATGAGGGAGTTGACAAACATTAGAGATAGCCCAGGTTGCATGATAGCTCACTAATGGAATACTCTTTCCCGGACAAGTGCCAAAAGTGCGCTCAACCCATGGAGTGAGCAGTAATTCTCAAGTGTAGCGTGTCTAAGGTAATCTTCTCTCTCCGGGATTCAAGAAGAGAAACTTAAAGAAAAGGGAACCACCGAATAAGGGAGTTGAGGAATGAGTACAAACCATGATCTCACGGATGGCCGTGGGAGAAACGCCGTCACCTTCCTTGGATTGCTTAAATTTCTTGATGGCGATGCACTTACCTCGGTTGGCCGCCTGCTTACTCTTGGCCAAGAAGACCAGTCCATACGTCCCCTCCCCGATTTTCCCAATCAGCTCATACTGCTGCAACCACGCCGGCCTGTTGGGACCGCCGCCTCCCCCGCTGCTGCTGCCACCGCCCCTCACCCCGTCCCCCATGGCGGTCGCCTTCGACGCTCCTCCCCGAGGTCGATCGCTTCACCTCTGGAATCCACTGAGCCTCTCTCCGCGGAAGATCGTCCTCCCCGAGTCCACGCTAACCTCCTCCCAGATTTCAGCCATCCGGGCGGACCATCCGTCCCCTATGCTCCCCAAAAGAGCGACGGAGCCCGAGCGGCCGCACCCGCCCTCTATTTAATCACACCCAACAAACCGCTGAATCCACGTCGGGACTAGCGATCGTGCGGTTGAAAAACCTCCGTCCAATCAAGAAGTACCATAAATAAATCCGCAAGAGCCAGATCATGGAAGCAACTACTACCGGGCCCGTCCAAGAAGTCATCTACGTTTTTCCATATCCAATAGAGTTCTTCCTTTGGTCGTCAACGCGTTTGTATCGTCTCGAAGAAGAGAGGTTGTTTGGTGCGCGACATGTAGGAGGGAGCATGGTGTGGCACGGCGTGGGCCAGCTTGGGCGAGAGCCACGTACGCGGCGGAGCACGGCGGCGATACCCTGTGCGACGAGGTGCAGAACAGCCGGGACATGCAGGTAGATGGGGGCGAGACATCGATGGTGCAGCGTAGGACGCAACGGAAGGGGAGGGAACACGAAGGAGCAAGGTGATATGGCGAACATGGGAGTACATCACAAGCAACGCAGCTCTGGAGGCTCAGGAGCATACAACGCAGGATGGCCTGGAGATACGAAGGCGCAAAGAGATATAGAGTGCCGCTGGACCCACGAACATAGGAGGGTGTGACTTGGCGCAGCACAGTGGAAGACTGAGTGAGACGGTAGTGCAGCATTGTACGTCGACGCAACACGAACGGAGCAGAATGGGAGGCACTGGAGTGTTCACGGAGGCATACGCGGGTTGGCGTGCAGCGCAATCCGAGAGCGACTAAAGAGGGCACCGCATCGTGCAACGAGGAGTAAAACGCCATAGGGCGTGCGAGGAGGATGGTTCGACCTAGTGCGGCGCAGCGTGGGATGCCACGGGTATGTGCGAGGAGAGACTCAGCAGAGGCAAACATGTGAGCTAGCTTGCTGGAGGTGGAGAGCACAGGCGCGACCATCCACATAAGAGAATGTCACACCCGAGGCTTTCGTATCCAAGTGGGTGGATCGGATCCACAAACAGATCAAGTAATGATTCTCGATGGAGCGACAGATTGAGGGCAGGGTTGAGCAGACCAGCAGATGGACATACCGGGATGACTATTGGGAGCGGAAGAACCATTTGCCGTATGTTCCTCCACCACGGAGCAGAGAGAACGGGTATGCTAGAGCGGGGAAGGATTCTCTTCCTCAAGTCAGAGTGAGACGCATCAACTGAGATGGGTGTACGGTTTTTTCTATATCCAATAGAGTTCTCCCTTTGACCGTCAACGTTTCCATGCCATCTTGTAGAAGAGAGACTGCTTGGTGTCGACAAAGGCGACCGAGACTGGTTTGGGGCGAGAGTCGAGGTGAGATTGATACTTGACCCCTGTCAAAAGTCCCGTTCTTCATGCTCCCTCATCTGTGGCCATGAGTCCGCTGGGCATCGTATGCGCCGCCCCAGGAAGCATGAGCGGTGTTGTAGTCGGCGGCTTCTGGTGGTGCCCCAGAAGCCTATTAATGCCCATATGAGAGAGCGGAAGTCAGGTTATGGGGAGGATGCGGGCAGTGATAGCAGAGAGAGAGAGAGAGAGAGAGAGAGAGGCATACGCGATTCATGGCGTAGGCTGCAGAATATGGATTCCCACCATATGCCAAACTGGGGTTAAGGTAATTGCCGCTATAGCCTGCACCTGAAGAAGCGATGATTAGCGGCAGATAAACACAAGCTATCCATATAATTTTTTCAATGTAATGGAATCCAATGATGGATGGTCAATATATCAAGACGTTACCTGCGCTCTACATACACTTTTTTGGGGTAGGCCATTCAGGAAGCATCGCATCACTAAAATAACAGATTATTCTACTTCCTTATTAGGCAAAAAACATCACCACTCTTTGATTTGATCACGTAACTGATGTTCCTTATTTAGACTGCACATTACTTGATACTTCTATGAGGGAGACACAATTTTATTTCTCATCAAAAATTTTATGGCACTTGAATATCAATTTCTTGATTCCTGATAATATTACTGATGAAAATCGTCAGATAATTCACAGATATATCACCAAGCATGTCTCCTTTGCTTAGTACATATTCTTCCCATAACTTCGGACAGTAGAGATTTTTTAGGAAGTTTTGATTTTTCTGCTACTGTGCTTTCCTTTCCTTTTTTTGTAATCCTTTTCTGAAGAGAGCAGCACAGAAACTCTCCCAGCCATATGTATGTGTAAAAACTCGTACTTGGCTGGAATTTGTTAAGAATAAGAACTTTCATTAATTTTCTTGGTATATGAGCTCCAAAAGTTTAAAGCATTTCATGCCTTGTGGAGGAAGAAAAAAAAAAAGATGCAGTCAAAAGAACCAATCATTCACCCTTTTTACAGCCACTTTAAAAACAAAATGTCCCCTAGGGTACAGATTGCCGTATGTGCTTATGCGCAGGTTAGGATTAGCATGTGTAAACGTGTTTTAAGGCCAAGGATGACTATGAGGTTTCCTTCCACACCATCTGTCATGACCTTTCGTCAAGCATATCATCCATGCATAAACGATAACTGAAGCACAATCAAATAGAAGAAATCTAAGCCCAGCGTGGTAATTAATTGTTAAGAAAAAACAACCAATGCACACAACATGTTTCTTGTGAAGAAAAGTATAATCACGCTAAAAAATTAGTAATATAACAAAAGGATGAAGGATGTAGAATGTATGTCGAACAAAAGAGTACATCAGTGTCAAAGGAAATATGGAACTCGGAAGCCTGATTGCATTATTTACAAATCTTGAATCAAAATGAGGCTTCAGTGAATAATAGCATGCCATAAAAATAGGTAAGAAAATTTAAATGCCAAGAACCTGTGTTAATGGTACCCGTAGGTTGTGCTCTCTTCTCAACATTAGCAACCTCTGCTCGTAGTTTCTCCACCTCACGGGCCATTGCAATCAAATTCTTCTCCATCACATGGCCTTGCTCGAAATTGTCAGCATATCCTTTCTTTTCATGCTCAATAGCAGACCTATACAAAAAAGAGGACTTCCGAATAAACAATTGACCCTTCCCATTTTTGTTGCTTATAATGGCGAGTGCGTCCTTTTCTTTTCTTTCCACCCATCAGGGGAACGTCCCAGGATTCTGGAATAAATTTCAGAATGTTCAAAAGCAACTGCAGTGCAGGTAAAACCGATTATACCCATTGTACACTCAGAGTTGACATAGTAAGGAAAGATAAGTGGCAAGGGTTCATGCATCAGTCATTGGTCATCCAGATGAAAAACCCTTGGTAGTAAACCCTCGCATTCATCGGGCATGTTATATGCAAACAATCATGTCATATGCGTCAGTAATTGGTCATCTAGATTTCCTATCCAATTTCAAGAACACACAGAAGGTCATGTGAAGAATCGCAAACCAAAGATTCAACGATGACAAGGGTATAGGGAAACACAGGAAAGGATTATTTTGCCTAGAAGTTTAGCGTTTGATGGATGCTTTGACAATGAATAAGGAGAGAGTCAGGAGCCCAACCAACGTAGGAATTAGAGACGAAAAATATAGAACATCAAATTAGAGGAAATGGAGAAAGAGAAAATCACACACACATAGGAATACGGATTTGCATGTGATTCTGTTCTTCCTACATCGAAAAGTTGCACTAGCTACAGTGCCTTAAAAGGGTTCAGATTACAAGAGAGGAGCGACTCCATTAAATTCGAGGAGGTGAAGCAACATACCCAGGGATAAAAGGTCACTACTACAAATTTATCTGTGTAACCCCATGCCAATCTGCTGCAAGGTTGGCTCTCTGAAACATACGGTGAGGCTACCACTTTGAGAAATAGGCTCATGACAACGAATGCAGGTTACTGTATAGTGTAGTAAATAGAATAAAGCCAGGGGGAATATTTACTAACATCCTTCTAAAGCCAGATTAATAACATAATAAATTTAGTCAAATCTAGATGAAAAACCCTTGGTAGTAATATCCTTGTTAGCATGCTTACCAATTTTGTTGAACACTTTAGCGGTCCAAGATAAATTTGACACATGTCCTTTAGTTCTACAACTCATATTGAAAGAAGATTTTTACATGCCCACTGGTTAGTCATCTCAAGCATAATTTGCTGCCCTGGTCCAACTCAGACAAATGGATTTTTGTGATTCCAATCCTAGATATCTATGATAATAACCAAGTTCGAAGCTCAAGGGTTTCCAAAGCAGGAATACGTTTGTAGAATCCTTCAATCCATAGATTCATGGAACAAAATGCTAAGCTCGTCCAAGTCAGTACAATTTCACACTGTTTTTAAGCGTCCAAATATCAGTCACATTAAGTAGAAAACACCTAACAGGCCACCGCTGAAAAAAAATCAATAGTTTTTCTGTTGAAGTCGTTCAGAGATACCTCAAATCGCAAAAAGCCCACGTCTTCTTATTTTAATTTCAACTTCAACGATCTTTCAGAACAATTATCGTAGCACACGAATATCCCAAGCTCAGATGCACCCAGAGAAACTGACACTGGCCCCATTCTCAAATTTTAATATGCTCATGATTTCACGACAGGTTCAAGGCTGTATAGAAGTTACCTAGTTGTTTGTTACCATTATTCTGGCCAAGGACCTTGACAGGTTCATTAATGTACAAGTCAGGGTATGTAAGTAGGTTCATAGGTACTAGGACTGGTAAAGAAAGACAAAGGGCCATCATTCATTTGCTAATAGCTTAAAAAAATTGCAAAGAATATAAAGTCGTTCATCATCTTCTTCATCAGGCATAAAGCCATATCCAACTCTTTTTTTCACCTCTATACATTCATTAATCCATTCCTCAATCCTCGCTTTATCTCCCTACTCGTATTCCGAACTAGACATGTAATCCATAAATTTCCAGTTCAAGCCAGACCTACTACAGCCACCATAGGCAACAGCAATTACTTTTGTACCATGCACTATCCCCCTCAACACTTACTATGGAGCTAGATGAAAGACTAGTGACTGTGCAGGTAGCGAACCTAACAATATTTTGCAATCTCCCAGAAATTTCAGAGACAGTCACCACCATCAGTGAATTTTAAGAAGCATGACAAGCTGGCCTGGGCTGTCGCAATTCCCTTTTGAAACATCCTCATCGATTAATACCTCACTGGCAACCAAACAGGCATCATAAGAATTCAGCAGGACAAAATCAAGTGGGATAAAGATAGACGGATAAGATAGACCATTTACCAAGTTAAGTTCCTGGCAAGGGACAGACTTCCATTTGCAGCGCATTTGGATGATACATCTTTGAATCTCAACAAAAGCAGCTAGAAAACTTAATAGAATTCCCAGGTATGAAAACTTAGCAGCAATTTATTTTGACGCCATTTCAACCTCATCATCAATTGAAGGAAAATGCTTAAATCTGTTAAACTCCTCAATTTTACCCCATGATCTTAAGGACCCTCAATTGATAAGAAAGAATGGAATGGCAATTCCAGAGGTGTTTACCCTCAAGTAATGAAAATACATCAGATTATTAAATGTTTCCTTCTCTAATACATGGAAGACCTCCTTGCATCTGGGAGGGAGCACAGGGCAGCGGTCCCAATGGGAATGAACCTATCAGAAAAAATAGCATAGCCAACTGAATAGGGTAGTTGACAATTAAAATGAAGATTTTTACAGCCCCATAATTGCAAAAGGGAAACAATTGAGGAGGTTGCACATAAGGGGATATTCCATCTCTTGATTCTTTTTTCATTCGCTTTCAAATCACAAAGAAATAAAATTATCCTTTTCAGGTTGTCTCTGAGTATTCTTGTGTAGTTGGAGGTTTACCAGACAACAACTTCTTTTTGCTGTGCTGGAATAGTGTTCTATTCACAGGTGTAGATCTCACATCCTTTTGGAGACTGGATCACAGACCTTGTCATCATAGTTTGAAATGGATGACACCGGTAAATTTTATGAGGTCTTCAAAAGTGGGGAACCTCAACTGAAGGCTTCTACAATGAGGTTTTAGCCAAAACTTCGGCCTCTTTCTCGATATCACCTACTGAAAAGAGTAATGCTATGGAGATTCAGTTCAGGTATGTCAATGAACCGGGCCAGCCTGCCGCCAGCTGGCCCTGATTGATCCGAACCAAGCTCTGGATAGAGCTGCTTCTTTCATGTCACGGGTACATTCTCCCTTCCTCAGAATTCGATAGGACAGCAATGGAATCATTTAATGGGTGTCCAAACTTTTCAACCTTTTTTCTTTACTTGAGTTCTTCATTTCCAAAAAAAATTGTATCTTGAGCATTCCCAGAGCTCATGGACTAATGTACTTTGCATTGAGAAGAAACCGACTACACAATATCATACAGATGCTTTTGGAGAAACGAATGGATAAGAAGGGCTCAAATCCACTTTACCTGACACGCTGAACTTCCTGTTTCATGTTTTCAACTTCTGCCTTCAACAATGGAGTCTGTTGAAGGTCTGCAGTGGCCCTGGTCACGTCCTGGCTAAGAACCTGAACCTGCTCTGTCAACTCCTGCCTGACCGAATTGAGCTTCTGGATGTCTCCACGAACCTGCATGAGCTCTGCCTTCATGGCCTCAGCCACCCTGAGCTCTGATTCCAGTTTCATGGACTTCTCATACATCTTCTCTCACTCAAAATTATATTTCGAAAAAGAAACAAAAATGAAACTCCATCACGATGGTGTACTTATCTACCTCCTAGTAGATAAAAGGAAGAAAATTCTTCAGAAGGTAACATTCGGAAGGTTTGCGGAATCCTTAGATGAAAATCTGTCCCTCCCCCACAACAGTTTAACGAAAGCGAAAGGTATTCTCATGATATCAAGACTCCAAGAAGACTTCCAAGAAATGAAAATCTCATGTTATAGTCGGAAATGTTTTCATCAAATGAGGATTTTCTCTCAAGCGGTAAGGGTTCCACTATACCTCAAGCGGGGAGTTATTTTACCAGAATTTTCTCCAATGATATATGTTTACAGCTAGGTTTTAATCTTCGCACGATGGTTTTGGGTTTAGGTATCACTGGCAGACGGTATCCTCAAAAGTAGAGAATGTAAAAATATAGGGTCGTCATCAGCAGTACCTCTCTGAGCTGAGAATCGTTATTGGCATGCATAGCACCGACGGCGTGTGCCACTCGCCGCAGTTCGTGCTGGGCGGCGGCGAGCTCCTGCTTGAGGGCGACATGCGTGGCAGCGAGGCGCTGGTTGTCAATAAGCAAACCCTGAATCTCCTGATGCTGAGCTGCGAGCTGCTCCTCGATGACGGCGGGGTGGAGCGGCCGAAGTGGAGGGCCACCGAGTCGGGGAAAGGGCCCGTCCATGTGGTCGTCAAGGAGGCCGGAGTGAGCAGGCCTGCCGAAAGGAGGAAGGCCAGGCTCGTGGAATGACCTTGGAGGCGCGCCGCCGCCGCCGCCGCCGCCGCCGCCCATCCGGTGGCGCCCCCTGCCTGCCATCCGGGCCGAGCAGAGGGAACAATGAGAGGACCACAACAAGAGAAGAAGGCGGAAACAGAACCCCTCCTTCGGAGAGAACTGCGGAGCAGAGGGACTATATTAATGCCTACCATAAAATGTCTAATATTACCCAAAATACAGAGAGAGAGATAATCTGGCATCCACATTTATCTGATTTTTAAAAATACTTTAAAATACATTTATCATAAATTTCGAATTGTGTTCAGACGCCAATGAACTTTTCTTGGTACATATATGATAGACAGTTGACGACATGATACTTACTATATGTGCTCTTCACTATGTAGTTAGGCTTAACTATTGAAAGGCATCCATTGGTGCACTAAGTACGAGCCTCACCTTCCACGAACTGCACGACTCCCCAAATCTCGAGTCAAATCCCTAGAAAACTGGTTTCTTGCAAAGTCAATAATGCTCTAGAGGATATTTGTTGTGTCAACCATGCTGTAGAACATTTGGTTCCCCTTATAAGATGCTATTTTTTAATATCATTTTCTTCTCAGTTACATTTAATAGGTTGATAAAATTATTAAGACATAATTCAAGAGAAACTACTAGATGTGCAATAATTATTGGAAAATTTTCAGAAATTATATAATTTTTTTATAAGTTTCCAAACTTCTGGTGAAAAAAAAAAACTTTAAATGGATAGGTTTTTGGATAAATCATCATTCAACCATTGATTCCTATCCTTTTCTTCTATCATATGGCTTCATAAGCGTATGATGATCCAGCATTCTAGCTTCTACATTATAGATGGACAAAGGTAGAAGGATATAGAATGAAGGAAAGTACACTTACTCCTTTCTAAATGATAGTTTAACCCATGATTGAGATGACTTATGACTAGAACATTAATTTAGCCTCTAAAATATTTGACCTGTCATTTAAACACTTGAGGTTATGGATTTTCTATGGCCCTAGTATATCAAATTTTGGTGGAGATTAAACTCAAATTTTATAATGGCTTCTATTTATCTCACACGTGACTAGTTGGTAAGGAAAGGGGGATTTTAGAAGCAAAAAATACCCTAAAATGCAGTCAATAAGAACACATCCCTAATTGATGAAAATAATATTATTTTTAAAATTTAGAATCAATAAAATTAAAAATAATATTATTTATATTCACACAATCTCATGTTTAGTTTGTAGAATGACAATCTTATGTCTTACCCCCTACTTACATCTATTCTCTAAATACAATCTATGCTCTTGGGTTCCACTATGTTGAGAATTTTATCATACCATTGATTATTGGGTTTAGGTTCCATAGAATTTCACCCTAAGATTCTTAACTCTAAGAGGTCAATAACTGAATAATTAGTCAATTTCCTTGAGTGATTACAATATGATGTCAAGTGTCTAAAAGAGAATCCTATGAATGTTTTGGATTGTGAAATTATGATAAATCTCCTACTTGAAATCATTACTTTCGTAATATTGATGAATTGCTAATAACTTTAAAAAGTACTACTGGAAAGTAACGATTTAAACATTAAATTCGTGCCAATATTTGAAATAAATATTCATATGAAACGTGATTTAGTATCTTAGATGTCTACGATCTGAAATAAATATTCATACCAAGCTTCTGATCACTTTTTCTACAAAAGTAATTGGTTGAATTTGAATTGTAAAATGATCGTTCAATTTTTAAAATATTATTAAAATATTACTTGAAATTATTTCTGAGATATTATAAGCCACTAATATTTAAAGTGATGTCAAATATTGATTCAAGATCAAGTATGTCTACTTCATGCTCATATTTTATTTGAGGTGATTTATATGTGATAAGGTTTCAAATTCATTACTTTATTTTGAGATGTATTTATGATTCCATTTTAATGATAACATATTCTTATTAGAAACGTTGAAACCCTTTAATTCGTATATATATATATATATATATATGTTATTAGTTAACAGCTCTCATTATTTGCTTAATCTTATAAAGATATCCAAACTCTTAGATGATACTTTTATTGGTTTATAACTGTTCAAATCTCTAACTAATTTCATAACTTAATATTGAATAACTACAAAAAAAAAAGGGAATGCTGTAACTTAGATTTATCTACAATCTAAGCTTATTTTGGACTATTTTTGAAGAAAATTATATACACATTACAGCAATCTTTGAACCTTGGTTTAACAACAAAGTAGCAATAATTTAGGTTGCAAATCTTGATCCAAACATGATCTTCTTCAATCTCACTTCAATGACATCTCTAACAGTGAGATAGATTTTTGACATAAAGATTGAAAATCAAATCAAGAGCAATTTGACCTCATCTTCTTTGAATTTATGTACATGATTCAAATATTTAAGATAAGTGATCTTTGTAATCAGCCTTGGCCCACCTAAAGCTATGAATCGAGGAGATAATTTTTAGGTGAAATTTCCAGAGAGGTAAGCTTAGTAATTAGTTGTTGTTGCAAAAAAATTGGTTTTGTGGAACTGAAAGTGTAGTGTTCTTAGAGAGTAGATAGAAGCAAGTGTTGATATACACAAGCAAATTTGTAACAATGCCTTAGTCTTAGATTTTAGAGCAATGATCCAAGCCAACAATTTGCCACAAAATATTTATGTTGGTATAAAATTACTATTACCCACATATGAATTTGGCCAACATCAGAACAAAATTAGGTCAAAGAGGCAAGAAAAGTCCTATTTCATCTCCCAGTCAAAGGTGTACGGATAGCATGACAACATCCTGATCTCATGGTTCAAAAATTCTCAGTCAAAATAAGTGTATCATGTTCTTCTTCATCTCTTAGATTGGTCTTGTACGTTTCATTTATGAGGATGACGACATTTTTATTTCAGTATTCCGGGCATCAGCAAGTATTTTCCAAGCTCAATCTAAAGCCTAATTTATTCATTAATGAAATATAATTAAATACAGATTTATATATCTCTCCAAGTAAAAAATGGTACGGCTTTGGTGAGAGTGACATCCCATCTCGTCAAGGAAGGGAACGCTGGAAGTCAAAACATTTACATCCCCATTCTTTCGCCATCCCCGTTACCTTTTGATGGTTAACCCGAGATGGGGTGGAGCCATTATTATAATAAAAGCCCCACTAGTATTTTTCCTTTTTCTTTTCTTGGTTGAATGAGAGCTCCGCTACTATGATCGCATTAATTGGTCCCACCATTGACCTTCAACTGGTGTAATAAAAGTTATCTTCGGCTTGCATATCCATGGCTTTGACATTCTTCCCCGTGAGTTCAAGCTCCATACAGGCGTTTATGAGTTACCGGCAATTGCATCCACCACTGGACCCTCACGCGCAGACAATAAGTTCACGGATATACTCCTTTCTCACGCTCCCTCGATGGTGTTACGCGAACAATAAGTCTCTCTCGCTCTCTCTCTCTCGCTCTCTCTCTCTCTCTCTCTCTCTCTCTCTCTCTCTCTCTCCCTCTCCCTCTCCCCTATCCCTATCTCCCTCTCTCTCACGCAAAATACATAAATCGATTCATCAATAAATCTCTCTATCACCTGCAAATGTGCAGACGTCTCTCTCTCTCTCTCTCTCTTTCTCTCTCGATATCTATACAAATCCAACTCATATATCTTACAGATTCTCGCATTTTTTGTGCATGTCCATATCTCTCTATGCATGTTTATTTAATGGGAAACAAAAGCTTTTATTAACATTTGTTATATGTGCACGATTATATCCCATGGCTTCGTTCATAGGTTTCGACAGAGTAACACGATTCTATTCAGGAATGGCACCAGGTTTGATCAATTTTACTTTAAAAAGAAACTTTGTCTAGTCATTCACAGCACCTAGCTTTTGGATAGATAGAAGATTAACATAATCCTTAGACATATGTTTTATTCAAAAGAACATATGTTTGCTTGAAAAGGACGTATGAAATATGCACACGATATAATGATCTAGGCCCGAAGAATGGCCAGGACTAGATTCCACTCATGGATCTGAGACCTATGAAGACCAAGCTCACCCCACCCAACCTCAGCTTGAACATGACGCAAAAAGGAATCGGTACTCTCTCTCTCTCTCTCTCTCTCTCTAGACCTTGCCATCAAAACAATTGTTTCGAAACAGGCTGCCGGTCAACGTGATAAATATAAGTTGTTGCATACAGGTTTCATAATTAAAGCCTCCCTCATGCCCATCCTCACCTCCTCTTCGCCTCGCCGCAGTGAGGAAATCCTCCACTTATGGGCACGAGCTCGTCTCTCTCGAAATGGTTCCCAGGCAGTTAAAATATCCTTCTGCTGGGTTGAAGAAGCAAAGACCAAGACCTTATCTGTGGGGGGACTCGAGCGGACGGACGGAGGACGGGCACAGGAGGAAAAGGTCGGGAAGGGTGATGAACGAAGGGTTTCACGTGGAGAAAGGCGGAGGTTGACCCGGAGAACCAGGCGGACGCGGCGGAGGTTGACCCGTCGCCGGCGGTTCCCGGGAACTCACCGCCGCTCCGCCACCCGATTCTCATCTCACCCCGATCCGTGAATTTGGGGCGATTGTCACCGCCTGCCTTCCAACGGGAACCTTCCTTCCCTCTTTTGACTCCAAGACTTGTCTGTCTCGCAGCGCGCGCCGCCGTCACCTCCCCGCCAAGGCAGCCCCTCTTTCTCTTCGCTCCATTTGCCGGTGCGGCCGGAGAATGTCTAGGCAGAGGAGCACTTGGGCTGCCCCTGCCAGGTTCATAATGGAGGCCTCGGTAAACAATGGTAACGACGGGGAAACCAACCACCACGCTGCAATAAACAAAGGGACGCATCGTTCCTGTGACTTGAGAACTGCTAAAGGTGGTGGCTTCCAAGTGGCCTTTCCATTCCCCTCGGTGCCCATTAATGGCAGGACTAGATCAATTATAATAATGGAAGAAAACACGGAGGGGAGGAAGAAGCAAAGGTGGACCCGCCTCCCCCTCCCCTATCGTCCTCTTGCAGAGGGTGGACTCCCACTGGCATTGTGATCTTTCTTCTGGCGTACCCTTTTCTGCTGCCTTCTTCCTTTCTTTTTCTTCCCATGATTGGAGCGGCGAAAAGTTTTGGGTTCTGCTCCCCATCAGGAGCAGAGAACCCTTGAACCACTGAGCTTGGAGGAAGCACAGGATCTGAGAAAGAATACACCAGGGGGAAGGAGGATGGAGGCTCCGGAGGAGTTGTAAAAAGGGAGTGCTCGTGGATCTGTTTTGGCAGGGGAGAGATTTTGCTTCCTCCACAGGGTGTTTTTCTATCCCTCTGTGTCTCTTTACCGGCCTGTCTTCTTTGGGAGAGTTCGGCCCTTCTGCACCATCCCTGCACCATCCACCAGGCCGCCTTCGCCTTCCTTTCTCCACCACCCTTTTGACCTGCCGGCGGCTTTTTCCCGGCTGCGCCAACTAAATCGGCCGCCGAAAGATAAACCCTGGTCTTTCCCCAATCCTTGTCATTTGTTTTGTGGACCGCGGACGCGGCTGCGCGAGTGGGGGATGGCACCGTCGATCAGAGGCCACGGAGTGTAGAGAATCGGAGCAAAATGGGTGCTTTCAGGAACAAGGCGGCGTCTTTCTTTCCCCTGGCTGCCTGCTGCGCGGCTTTCTTCCTCTTCTCGGTTGTGGGTTCTTCCTCCCCCACTCTGGCCCCTTGCGATTCCGGCGACCAGCAGGCGCTGCGGGAATTCGCCCGGAGCCTGGTAAATGGGTGGACTGTCCTTTCCTCCACCTGGTCCAAGGAGTCTTCTTCTTGCTGTAGCTGGGAGGGCGTTACTTGCACAGAAGGCATCAATGGCGGCGCCGCCGCCGTGGAGGTGGCGAGGGTCACAGATCTTCGACTCCCCGGCAGGGGCCTCGACGGTTTCATCTCCAGTTCTCTCGGTCGCCTGGAACAGCTGGCAAACCTCGACCTCTCCCGCAACTTTCTCCGCGGGGCACTGCCACCGGAGCTCTCCGGTCTGGTCCAGTTGCATCTCCTCAACCTCAGCTTCAATGCCTTGTCTGGACCCGTTGGTCCGGCGATCGCCGGCTTGACCTCGGCCAGGTTCATCGATCTGTCGTCCAATTACTTCAATGGAACCGACCTCTCCGAGCTCGGCGGGTTCACCAGTCTCATCACCTTCAATGTCAGCAACAACACCTTCTCCGGGCCGGTCGGCCGCCGCCTCTGCCTCGGCTCAGGGTCCATTCAAGTCCTGGATCTGTCGATGAACCGTTTCTCCGGCCAGATCTCCGACGAGGGCATCTCCGGCTGCGGGGCGGTTCTCCGCGAGCTCTACCTCGACGACAACTCCTTCTCCGGCGATCTGCCAGGCTCTCTCTTCGACCTTGCGGCTCTGGAGAGCCTGTCGCTCTCTTCTAACAGTTTCTCTGGTTTTCTGCCCGAGAGGCTGAGAAAATTGTCAAAGCTCAGCGTCCTTGCCCTCCAGGAGAACAGCTTCTCCGGCGCCCTTCCAGACGTCTTCGACAGCCTTACCCAGCTCCGGCGGTTCTTCGCGCATTCAAATCTCTTCTCCGGGGGGCTCCCCTCCTCTCTGTCCAGGTGCTTGAGCCTCGAGGAGCTCAACCTCCGGAACAACTCGCTCGGCAGCGGCGGCGGCTCCACCCCCGCCACCGACCTCGATTTCTCTCAACTCACGCGCCTCAGCTCGCTCGACCTTGCCGCCAACGGCTTCTCCGGTCCCCTCCCGGTGGGCATCGCCGGCTCCCTCTGGCTCAAAACCCTCAGCCTCGCCAAGAACGGCTTCACCGGCGCCGTCCCCGACGCCTACGGGAATCTTCTCTCTCTCTCGTTTCTCTCTCTGTCGAACAACAGCCTGAGCGACCTGGGGGGATCTCTGAAAGTACTCCGGCGATGTGGGAACCTCACCACGCTCATCCTTACCAGAAATTTCCGCGGCGAAGAGCTCCCCGCCGACGTTGTCGGCTTCCAGAGCCTGAAAATCCTGGCTCTCGGCAACTGCGCTCTCTCCGGCCGGATCCCCGTCTGGCTGGCCAACTGCCGGAAACTGGAAGTCCTCGATATCTCCTGGAACCGCCTGCACGGGGACATCCCGCCATGGCTGGGGCACCTCGAGAGCCTCTTCTACCTGGACATCTCCAACAACTCCCTGTCCGGGCCGATCCCGTTGAGCCTGACCAGCCTCAAGAGCCTCATCTCTCCAACTGCCTCCCCTCTCGGCACAGTGATCGGGATGCCCCTCTTTGTGAAGCGCAACCAGACGGCCAATGCTCTTCAGTACAACCAGATCTCAAGCTTTCCCCCAGCACTGTACCTGAACGACAATGGCATCACCGGGCCCATCCTGCCGGAGTTTGGGCAGCTGAAGCAGCTCCACGTGCTGGATCTGAGCAATAACAACATCACCGGCACCATTCCCGACAGCATCTCCGGCATGCAGAACCTGGAGATTCTGGAGTTATCGAGAAACCAGCTGCACGGGCCGATCCCCAGATCCCTCAATAGCCTCAGCTTCCTGTCGAAGTTTAGTGCGGCTCACAACAATCTGTCGGGGGAGATACCAGACGGTGTGCAGTTCTCCAGTTTCCCAATCTCAAGCTTCGAAGGCAACCCGGGCCTCTGTGGGGGACCTACACCTCCCTGCAATCGGAGCAGTGCCGTGGGTTCCAGCCCTCCTCCGGCCTCGCCATCAAAGATGGGGCGGAGAGCGATGCTCGGGATAACTATAAGCATCGGAATTGGCGTCGCATGTCTCTTGGCCGCCGTCGTGCTCCGATTGTCACGCAAGGAGGAAGGATGCCCCGCCGGCGAAGCAGGCCTGGAAGAGGGGACGAACAGGACATCAGATCCGGCGGGGTCTAAGCTGGTGCTCTTCTTCCACAGCTCGGGTAGCAAGGAGCTCACCATCTCCGACCTCTTGAGATCCACAAACAACTTCGACCAGGCGAACATCATCGGATGTGGAGGGTTCGGCCTCGTCTACAAGTCAAGCCTTCCCGACGGGACACAGGCGGCGATCAAGAGGCTCTCGAGCGACTGTGGGCAGATGGAGCGGGAGTTCCAGGCGGAGGTGGAGGCCCTCTCGAGGGCCCAGCACAAGAACCTCGTCTCCCTCAAGGGCTACTGCAAGTTTGGGCACGACAGGCTGCTGATCTACTCCTACATGGAGAACGGGAGCCTGGACTACTGGCTGCACGAGAGGGTGGACGGCGGCGCCCTCCTCCGGTGGGATGCCAGGCTAAGGATTGCTCTGGGGGCGGCGAGAGGCCTGGCCTATCTCCATACGATCTGTGATCCCAACATCATCCACCGAGATGTGAAGTCGAGCAACATCCTCCTGGACGAGAGCTTCGAAGCCCACCTGGCAGACTTCGGGCTCTCGCGGCTCATCTGCCCCTACGACACGCATGTCACCACCGACTTGGTGGGCACGCTGGGCTACATCCCGCCGGAGTATGCCCAGACCCTCACGGCCACGCTCAAGGGGGACGTCTACAGCTTCGGTATCGTCCTGCTGGAGCTTCTCACTGGGAGGCGGCCTGTCGATGTGTGCAGAGCCAAGGGCAGCCGAGACCTGGTCTCGTGGGTCCTGCAGATGAAGTCCGAGGGGAAGGTGGAGCAGGTCTTTGATCCCCTGATCTGGAGTAAGTCATTGGAGAGGCAGCTGCGAGCGGTACTCGTAACGGCCTGCAAATGCATCAGTGTTGATCCTCGGAGCCGTCCCTCCATCGAAGAGGTTGTCTCATGGTTGGATGGTGCAGGAGGGAACAGCTGAATACTAGAAAAGCAGGGTTTTTTTCTTCTCCATTAATACATATATATATATATATATATATATATATATATACATGTATTACAGCGAAGGTTGTGGCATACTGCTTCTCTGGTCATCCAACAAGCCCATACACAAGCTTTAGTTTAGCTCTTTGGGGACGCTGTTCTGTGTAAATATGGCTGTTTGCGGCGGTCCGCGAGAGTGCCCTTGAGGTTCAATGATTCTTTTGTCAGCGTACTTGCTGTTCCTGAGCTTATCTGGTGGGGGAGCTGTCAAGGCTTTCTTCTATAGACCTCGAACGACTTTGCGGTCATCTTTTACCGAGTTTGTGATGTCAGTTCGACAGCTCACCGGCTTCTATCTGCTGCTGCATCTTCTTGCAGTGGCTACAGACTGACCACGCTGACCACGCCGGCGGTTGGATGTATTAACCCATACTAAATGCCTTTGACATTTCCCGGCTTGGGAAACTATGATTCCATTAACGTGGAAATCACATTTGCAATTCATGTCTACAGGAGAGAGCAGGATGAAGAAGGGAGGATTTCTCAAGGTCCTCCGCTGCTGCTCACTCCTTGGCTTCTACCCAAGCCTTCAAGCTGTCATGAAGTAATGTAGCCGCAGGCACCTATAGGAGAGAAAAATTAGAAATTTTTGGGGACTAGAAGTTCTGTAATTGGCTGAATTCTGGTTGGCAGGGCTGATTATGATTATAGATTGTGCCGTTGTTGGATCAGCGGCCATCCTGACTTGGCTTCAGCTCATCATCTCTTCCTTGCAGGGCTCCACTTATGTTCCATTTACAAAGGCAGGTGTTCAATGGGTGTTTGGAAAAATGAAAACTAGAAAAACCCATGTATCCTAGTATTTGGAATTTTGAATAAACTTATTGTCAGTTGTAGACTCAAGAGTATACCTATGGGTTGACCTTGAAGAGAGATATATTGAATGGTCTCCCACAATAAATAATAGAAAATACGAAAAATGACACACTTTCACCAAAGTAGTCATTGGGAGCGCATCATGCCCATTGGCAAAAAATAAATCCACTAATTTGTGTCAAAATCTCAAAAAATAATGAAAAATCATGTAGTTGACTCTTTCCTTGTTCTAAATGAAACGCTAAATATCATAGGAAAAATAATTATGAAAACTCTAGAAAAAAGTTATCAATCATAGTGTAGCATTATCAACTTGTTGAAAATTTTAAGGGTCATGAAATTATTCAAACCTTTTTACCGTGAAATTAATATTTTACACTATACATTTTTCTCATATTTGAAGCATGCTCCTATATATTGTATTTTTGATATTCTGAAATTGTCATATGACCTTTTAGAGTGTTTTCCTAACCATGAATGTAAACCTCATTTAATTACAAAGATCCATATTCAATAGTGAGTCAATCGCCCCATAATATGTAATAAGGTATACTCTACTAGTGTAGTCAGCCCAAAAACCACATCAGACTATTTTAAGGGCTAGTTAACCTCATACTCATTTTGCTGTCCTCAAAACTATTAAGGATGTCAAAGCAAATAAAAATCATATTGCAGGACTCACAAGATGCTCAAAAGAAATATGTAAATGACTATATACATATATGAATCATGATAAACAAACCCTTGAATAACATAATAAATAAACTTCAATTTCTTCGAACATGACATTTAATTCTATTATAGTTGAAATATACTAGTACATAAGAGAATATATAGCAATGTAAAGCAGCATGATAGTTACATACCTAAAATTAAAAATCATAAAAGAGTTTGTGATCAGCATCATATAGGTTTACCGAACATACGCAAGTCTAAGACGTTGAAAGAAAGGCCAAATCCTAGTAATCAAAAGCAGGTTATCTATTTTATGTGTCCAAGTTACCATCAAAACAATATATTTTACATTGGAAGTCCACTAGACAATAAATAAAAAATAAAAGAGAAGAGACAAGGAAAGAAAGAAATTATCACATAAAAACATAAAATGAGAAAAAAATTTAATAACTTAGCAGAAAAAGGATGAGCAAATCAATTAGTAATCAATGGTATTTCAAAGTGACAGAGTGACAATAAAAGTTCTCTACTTCTCGAATAGTTGCATCCCTTTAATTACCTTAGGTTCCACTAAAATCTTATTGAAATATAGGATGAAATAACAACTTCAGCGACCTTATCCATTTGTTTTAGTACCCCAATAAAATCAAGATTTTACTCAGAAATCCTCTTTAGATTCACAGATCTAAGAGGCCAAGAAGGAGAGCTAAAATCCCTTTCTCTATATTTATGGCTCTTGGAGGCCAATGGAGATTAACTAGTATTAATCACCACTAGATTACAGCTCTAGATGGGCCATGAGTACAACATTATTTTAAATACAAGAATGTGTTAATATTCTTTGGCATTTGAATGTTGTTTCTCATAGGCTTGTTCCTTTGGCATGTACTTGAAGAAGCATGAGTACTTCAAATGGGACGAGCCAAGCCATGAGTCACATCTCTTGAGGAGCACAAAAATATATAATTTTAATACTGATTTATTACTTGTTACTTATAATGACCTTCCTCAATTTCACTAACCTTCAACAAGCAAACACTCCATTTAGTGATGGTATACCAAATGTGTCACTTCACTTCTAATTTTGCATTCATAATTTTAGGTAGACCAAAATGCTAGATGCCTAACATTGGCATATCATGTACAGACATCATGTCCAAGTTAGCTTGAGTTCACCCAACATTCACCTTTAGTGATGGTAGTTGAAAATTAGTAGGAACCCCTTTATAATTGGCACAAAACAAAAGAATTGGAAATTCAATGGATTTGAAGCTTCCTTGGTGATAGAGTTTGAGCTTTAAAGGTGGAAGATTGAGATTTTGGATGTAAAAGTTATTTTATTGTAAATATTAATATTTAAAATGCTTTATCAAGACTAAGACGTGAATGTTTCGTACTCACATGATGTCCAAGGTCATGGAGTGCATAAAAAGATATTCAAATTATTTACTAAGAAACCAAATAAGTTTATCACCATTGTTTATGGAAATTCATGAAACCTGAAAAGAGAACTAAAGGTGCCCACATGCTAGAAGAAAGTTTCTCACTACATAACCTTATACCTTTTAGTCATATTCACTCCACCCTTCAAAAATTTTAAAACCTTGACATGGCTTTTTACACATTGTTGACTAGTGTAAACACTTGTGGACAATATCTTGATTTTGTTTCATGTAAACACTTTTTTCATCTATAACCTAATTAGAACCAATAACATATCTCCTATAAAGCTTTGGAGCCTAATGAGTTCTAACAGCAACAAAATGCACACAATAGTAAAAGAGTTGTTTTACACTACATTATTAATTCTTTTATGACTTAAATATAATAAATAATCTTTAGGCGACACCTGAAAAGTTTCATGAAAACTTGAAAATAATTGGGTGCGATTTTTGTTTTATTTACATTTTACAAGTGAGCAGTTGGCTCACTTGTAAAGAAAAGTAAAGAAAAGGGATATCAAAACAAAAGAAGAGTGTTTGTATAATAAATATTTTGAATTCATCCTACAATGATCAAGATTTAACTACAATGCCTTAAACACTTATGTGAATCCTTAGATCTGCAATTCAATACACTGAACTCACATTAAACTAGTCTAGGCAAATATGACAGCATCACATGCTTGCTTGTCACCCACAAAACTCACTTCCACTCACAGTATAATAGCAAATAGGGATCTAGACATTGGTACTTGCACATGACAATTACAAGAGCTAAAATGACCGTTATTTAGATGACTAGAGCATTACAAAAATAGGCAAAACTCCTCTACAAAAGAATATATTTGGAAAATCAGTTATCAACCCTTTGTAATACTTCTGGGACATCCTTCTTATACCGCTATTGTATCAACAACTTTTGAGAAGCATATTCAAAGCTCTAGATCTTTAAAAAGGTTTGAAACAAACTTTCAATCATGTAAGGCTTCCTAAATTCAAGGCCTAAATTCCACATTGAAAGGACGCTCTAATGTTTATTATAAACTAAACGTTGATCTTGGTATCTTGTAAGGATTTCCAGATAAAGGTAATTACATCTAGCAGCAATCATTTTGGAACAATATAAACCTTACCAAAGACATCAAATCAGAATACCAAGCTGACACAAAAAAAACTCATGCTGTAATTCAATGGATCACTATCAATAGCCAACAGTCTTCAACTAAATAAATATGTAGCAATGTCCTTACTATTCAAGACATCCCTTTTCCTTGAGATGTTAGTAACACCTTTGCACTAGCAGTGAAACTTGATGTTCGTTTAAAACTTTGCCTGATGTTTCAAAGTTCACTAAAATAACAACCAACTTAACATAAGAGCATGACAAAGCAATAAAATTCAACTAGTAATGCAATTGTTGGATGTTTCCAATATTATACAATTGAAAGTATCCAATTCATCCTTCCAATAATATTGATTGGAAAGAAAAGACAAACCAAATAATATTTTCATCTCTAACCTAACTTAAGATGGAACATTTCGCTAGAGAAAACCCATAAGTTTATGATATCAAATATGAACTTGTTGCCAGAGGATAAATAGTCAGCATAAAAATGATAGATACCAAAAGCATTACAATGTATGACAAGCAAGTTAGAAGTGGGACTAGGAAACTGGGAATCACTTTGATAGACTAGGTATGTGTACAAAATGTATTGACAAGAACATGATAATGTGCACCAGATGGAGTTAATTAGAAAATGGCTGAGAAATTATTTTCTAGAAAATTTTAAAACAGATTGAAATCGCATTGAAAATATTAAAATTATGAATATGGTTGAAAATGATTTGCTGCCTAGATTGCTCAGCAATACACAGACCACTGCAGTTTGTTAATCATTTGATGATATTTCTCCAACCACATGTCTCTACAAATGCAATTTATTGATCCCACACAACATTCACCATACTTCTAATTCCTAGAAACAAGATGTAGCATCTACGAGATGTTACTACACATCATGAGCAATCCTCTAATCACCATCTTGAGTATCAAGTTATAGTTAGAAATATAAGCCATTACCACTGACAGATCACAGAGGACAAACTATACAAATCTTTTGTTTATCAAAGTCATGACAGCATTAAATGTGATACTAGGCAGCACATAATGAAGCCCTTTGTTTGGCGAGTAATTCTTTCAGCTTTTTTACAAGCTGAGGGCTCTGAAGCATGAAATCCTCAAAGGACTTCCTCAAACTTTGCAGCACTGCCACATCATTGTCATTCGAACGTCTATTAAGCAGTGTGGAAAAGAGATTCTCCCACAGAGGCACGTTCCAGTACCTGAAGTTTTGAAGCGAATCAGTGTAGCAAAAAGGGGTGATCATCATATACAGTCTTCAAAAATGAATAAAAAAATGTCTCAGGTAAAGCAAGAGTAAAGTTACACATAAATGGAGTCCTTCAGTTACTGATTTCGGTAGGGAATACCATTGTCTAGAAGTACAGAGTAAAACTCATCTGATACCTTTTCAAAGACGATCTGGGCTGGTATGTATAATCCCCATCTGAATTTCCCTTCTTTTCAATGCTCATGTAAGAGCCATGGAGCATCATATGAATAATGACACAAAGCCCATATGTATCGACCTGCCCATTATGGAAAATTATATAGCATAAATTAACCATGTATTGAAAAAAACGTATAGGAAAATCAATTCTTTAATTAGGTGATACGAACCTGAAATGTCCAAGGCTTATCTTCCTGCATCTCAATGCAACGAAAACCAGATGTTCTACAATCCCCGACAAATTGTGTACCAGAGGGAAAGAGATTTAAGTCTATGCCCCTTCCCCAGTCCACAAGACAAAGACCCTACATAGAAGAGACATACACTGTTGGTTAAGAGACCAGTAAAAACGTCTACAAGTCCCAAGTATTAACTTAATATTACCTGACCACGCCAAGATCCCGTTCTGCATTGAAATCCATCATCAGTGAGCTCATCACTTCTGAAAATAAATAAAAAATTGTAAACTCATGATCTACAAGATAAATTATGTAATGAGGAAAAGTATAGAAGGAATGTCCGCGGGCAAAGCAACTCCCCATCTGGAATATAATATTAGACGTTCTATTTAAACACTTCTAGAAGTAGGAAGATAATACATTTATGATATTCGATCATAGTCCCAATCATATTAAATTTTAAGGTCCACACGAACAAAGAAATGCACACTAATATCATCCACAGACTTCCACTTATTATGAAGACAACTCATCAATTACATTTCTTGCAAGCGCAAATATTAGAGATGTCCTATAGCTATGGTTCACATTTTCAAATATTAGTTGTTGCAGACCAAGTCATTCAAAGGGGGGTCTGCAACAGCTACAAAGTACTAGGAGAAAAATAAGATGTATCTGAGTCACCACAACATTTATAGCCATAGCCTCTTTTAACAGTCATCTATTCAATATGCTCATCTGATTACATTAATATTCTTACATTTTTCCCCTTTCCGAACAACAAGTCTTACCCTTTCTACACTTCTTAATAGAGAGCCTGCATGCTGTTAGCAGGCAACTAGAATCTATTGATGAGTGCAGATTACAAAGAAGGATTTAAGCTTCGTTGGACACTTTCCACTTTCCACTTTTGATATTCTATCAACATGGAAGACAAGCGTGTATTCCCTTATATACAGACCTCCTTCCCTTATTACTCCAGCCTTGCTGCATGTGACCATGCTGAAAAGTTTGCCATCGTGTGTGAGGAAACTTTTCTCCGCATGGAAACAAGGATTTTGGTCGAAAACTGCTTGATAGAGATACTAGGCATTGACTTCCAAGCTACACCAAGAGTAACATTCTGATCTTCAAAGGCATGTATGAGGAAACTTTCAGAACTTCAGAGGCAGCCACTTAGCACATAGAAGAATTTCTTTAGGTATTTCTGCTCTCGAATAGATAGCGCATGTTCTCTTTTAAGTGGTATTGTCGACTTGTTCTTGAGTAACCAATCATGGCTATATCAACTATCACACTCATTGAAAATCTCGAGAATGCTGTAACTACAGTTCTACATACCTGATCACCAGGTAATGGCATTACCCTCTTAGATGCATATATGTCATGCTCATATTCCCTGTCTGTTTGTGCACAAGGGGCAGAAATTACTAAGCACGGTATCATATGCACGAATAGGAAACATAAACCTATCTATGCAAAAAACTAAGTCACTGGCAAACCAGGAACATTAAACACTAACCAGGAGACATGAACAATCAATGGAAAAGGATCATTGGTACTTCATAGTTTGCACCTGTGAAGATCGAATTCGCACCAGCAGAAACACTTGCAGTGGGATATTTGTAGCTTAATTTACGTGTGGCATACCAACTTACAGATGAAAACCCAAATTTCATAAGATCAGGTAATGTCAAGATAATTGGGAATGGATGAGACAGTGGCAACATTATGGTCCCCACAAAGAATACATTAGGTATATGAGAATAACTTTGCCTATTCCGGTTTTTAAGGGTTTGGATTTTATGCACTATATTCCCATAAACCCGTTGTTCTGAGATCATAACTTAACGGCTGGAACCTTGACAAAACATAGAGACCAGAGAAAAATCCAGAATTACTAAATCGTAATCAAAAGCACTGTATGGAAGAAGTGCAACATTGACGACTTCTTAAGTCAACGTGTAGCATAATGTCACTCAATGGGGAATGAGGAAAAATAACTAACCACTGTTCATGGCTATCTTTTCAAGGCTGGCAATTTTAGAGCATAAAAAGTACTGGTGAAACTGAGAAAGCAGAGAAATTTGTGAAACGTTCATTGGTTCAACCAAAACGTACCGGTTCTCCAAAAGAATTTTACCATTTAAATGTAAATGATAGTTTCTACAGTTCAAGCTACATATTGTGGTTACTTTTCACTTCATAGATGAATGTAAGTTGTAGCACACATAGTTTGGCAGAGATCCACCATCTGAGCAGATTCATATTGAGGGAAACAACACTGATATAACGTTGCTTTGACTGGAAAACCAAGGTAAGAAAATTTCTGCTCTGGTAGCCAGGAGCTCTTCATGCGTTTTGAGGAAATGACCTTCTATCCTTGACAGGATCAGATTATTATGAATCCTCTACATACGAGTTCCTTCCAAAGACCAGCTAGCTTCTCCGATTAGAGTTTAATCGACCATTTAATATGTTTTGAAGATCAGAAAGCCGTAATACAGGCACACGAATATCTATACCTGACATAGCGAATTAGCAAATTATCTGGCTTGAAGTCACCATGAATGATACCAACAGAATGCAGCGTTTCCAGTATGCGCAGCATCTCTATCGTGTAGAAAATGCAGAGTACTTCTTCCATGTGCTTCTGCATTACTAGATAAGAATTTATAGCATCCTGAAAAGAAAAATGAAATGAATAACGCAAAATCATAGGGAGTTTTCTGTCATATATGTAGAAGCTTCCTCACGAAGTACTATAGTTGGAACAATATGACGGAGTCCATCTTAATTTTACCTGAAGTGTTCCATGAGACAAGTAGTCAGTAACAAGCACACTCCAGTCAGAATAAAGATAAATACCATGAGCGACTCCAAAGCTTGATCTCTGAATAAAACTCAATCATCATGAGCAATCAAAATATTTTGACTCAAAATCGTAGATCATGTGGAAAAGAAAATGGCATACTTCATTATCTGGTATACGCATGTCAAGCTGTCGGTACATATAGAATTCCCAAGGAAAAGCAGGTTTCTGTATCTGCAAAAATGAAAAAAAAAGTAGTGATTCACCATGACAAATCTTGGTCCGCCATTAGTATATATCTGCATGTAGAGGTAACAGAAACCTTTAGTGCAACAACAATCTCAGGATTGTTGTCTACATAAGCTTTGAACACTTGAGCAAAGCCTCCCTGACCTGAGCAGCCTTTGATCTGATATTTCTTCCCGCCTTCATATATTAAAATACAAAGGATTACTACAAGCATAGAAAAAATCATTTTTTATTACGAGTTTTATAAACAGTTGCATGAAAGCCCCTATCTCAGAACATAATGATTTTTTTAAAAATTGTCATATCCAATAGGTATTGCGGAAATAATCCATATATTTTTTAAGCTACTCTGATGGAATGCTATAAGCACAACGACAATCATCCCAAGGGATTCATAAAATTTCTTCTTCTCGTTATTGGATATATATTATGCCAGGAGAAATGACTGCTAGGGAACCAATGTAACCATGAAATTATATATCAATTTACCGGATGTAGTGCCATTGATCTATCTTATAAAATCAACAGGGTGTGCCTAAAGAATAAAGGTGAATAGAGTGAGATGAAAATCGAGTGAAATTCGTAAAGAAGAAACTTCTATATGAAGTGATGCCCCATGGTGAAGATGCCAGACTTCTGATAGAGATAAATAAGTACTTCTTTCCAAAGATTTATGAAAAAAACATGCCATCTCTGCGCTTATTTCTCTTCCAACATCAACATCTACTTTCAACTTACTCTTAAAAAATTCGAACAGGCATTCCTATTTTGTCATTTCACATATTATCCTGTTTCTCTGCAACTACCATATCATCATATACCATGTTAACAAAGTGTGTAATAAAGTTTGATTTCATGAGAAAAAGAATGGTAGTTCTGAGATAATACTGTTGAAGTTCCTCTAAATATAAATTGCACCACATCTCTAACCCAGCCACAGACATCAACAAAAGTTTGTAGTTCAAGATTAAAACATCGTGCGAATTACAGCATGTCTTGCCTAAATGCAGTAGCCCTTATCCGGGTAGAGAATATGTTACACCCATGGACGTAATAAAAATTTAAGAAACGAAAACAAATATATATAGACAGACACCTAAAGACTATCAAGAAGCATTGCATGGCTAACAGTAAGATTCCTTCATTCCAACAGGATTGTTCCACTATATTTCCATGTCATTGGTATCTACTATGATATCCTATTCTCTCTGATTAACCAAAGAATACATCCTCACCCTCCCTCACTAATTCTTTTCCCAAGGCACCATTTTTAACGACCACATCCCTATTCACATAGTCACCACGAACATCAACCTCCAAAAGTTGTATTAAGTTTTTATACAGCACTCAACTAGAAAAAAAAGAAATGCATAGAAGTCAACGAAATAACTTTTAAAATTACTTAGAATATGTTTACTGTTTGCAGTATCTTTAGCCTATGGTATAAGATATATTAAAATTTCAAGAATAAGCAATTCAATTTTCAAAGAAGCTAAATGTTCATGCATATGGTATAAATTGATAATTATATACACCATTTTTAAGGAATGAAATGCAAAACACATATGTAATTTAATAACTCGGATCGGGACATATGTTTGAAACATGTTAATCATTGAAAATATCAGGTCTTAGAAGAATTCTACACCAGCTGCAGAAAAGAAGCATGTTCTTAAGATACATGAACATAAATTTCAAAGTTTGGATAGTCTTACCAAGATCAATGATTTTATTTCTTGAAGAGTTCTGTAAGGATGACAGCTTTACTTTCCCTTGGTAAGCCTTAGAACTCTTGCAATAACCCTAGAAAGACCAACGAAATAAAATAAGGCATAAGATGACGCTTAAAATATCATACTGGCAAAAACATTAAAACCAAAATATTCTCACATTATGTTTTGCAATATGATGATTTATCTTCTTCAAAAGATCATTGATGGTGGACGCTGACCATGGGTTTACAAAAGCATGTTTCTGCAAAATAAAAGTCAGAAAAAGAATATGTAGATCAATATCAAGGCCAATGATTTGACTCCTCTGATACTGATCTAACTAATCAAGAACCGTAAGAATAACCGCCATAGACATTCTTGCAATCTTAGTAGGGGAAATATCTAAAGTTTCTGTAGGGTATCAGGACAATGGACTGATTCCAGGCATGTGCAGTAAAAGTGGCCGCAGCTGTATTTCTCTGAGTTATATAAAATGAAAAATCAAATAATATCGTCCATTTTCCAGAAGCACAGTTTCCTTTTTTTCCCATTTTCCAGGAAAGGGACTATATTTTTCCTTTCGTTAGATTGTTACGGTTTAAACTAAATGATAAATCCTCAAGCATGTACAAGATGGATCTCTCTAGTACTAATATTTACGAATATAGTTTAAACTAAATGATAAATCCTTAACCATAATTATTACTAATATAGTTTTCGAACTGTGAGGTAGGTATTGCCAAAGCAACAAGAAGCGGTAGGATGGAGCACATTTGGATGGTTGGGCGAACAGAATAAAAGGCGTTCACATTCCTCACCTTGTCACCATGATGGTCTTGTTTGTTGTCTTGAGCATCCTGTAAGAAACCGTATTCATTATGACAAAACATTGGCAAACTAATGAACGACACATTCTTAAACAACGTTCTAAGGAGTGGAATAGTCATATAGAGAACAAATATCAACTTAAGATAAATTATCAAAAATAGGGCAAAGCTTAATACTGAACAACATTAAGATTTATCTCTTCTTTGAGCTCAACTTCGTAATATATGTAATCAACTCAGAACATAACTTTCTCTAAAATCAAGCGAAATGAACGAAACATGAAGTTCATTGCACAGCTCTCAACACCTTAGTGATTTAGCACTCTCGCAAAAGCAATAAAACCGTTTGTCTAAGTAAAAAGATTGAATAATGTGGTCTTAAGTTAATAACTATTGTAGTGAAGACAGATAAAGTACGCATATTCCGGAGGCTGTACTTTAAGATCCATTCTAGAGTGCTAATTCATAAATGAAGCCTTTGTTAGAAAGAACACCAAGGATATCAATTGGTAGATAAAAATAAATTATTTTTTGGACGGATTAGGTTGATGTTACACCGAGGCAAACCTAAAGGATTCACCTTGATTTTGCATATAGCCTGGGTAAATATGAAAGTGCAGATTTCACTGATGGTTTACTTTCACAAATTTGACAGCAATCCACTTTACGAATTGCGAAAAAAAATCCTTCAACCAGAATGCATAATTTAGCACAAGTTATATTCCTTTGCTTTGTCTTCACAACTTCCAATTAGCCAGAACTGTTTTTGGTTTCTTAGAATGTCAAGTGGGGTAAACAAGGCAATATCATAAAACGGCGAAGCCTGTCACCCCTTGGGATCCCTTACATTAACATATCAACCATTAGAAGAACTAAAGTAACCATAGTATGTTCCCAGTCAAAAGTAGTCACGATGTGGCCATAAGAAACTAACGTTTTCTTCACTGAAAATGAATTGACAGGCAGATGAATGTAAAGGCTAAACTACAGCACGATAACTAAGCTTCCTTGCAGGCGCACCTGGTATTTTTGAGGATGTTCTTCAATTGAGGTCACGTGGTTGAGGAACAAAGCATGAATTTTCTTCAGCCTTCCAATGGGCTCCGTATTCCTAACATAAAAACCACAATCAAAGTAACTGTAAGATCGAAGCCCAGAGTGAAATCCACAGGAGTGAAGAAAGAAGAGGGAACTGCAAAAGATGACAGCAAAAGGAGCAATTAGAACCTGTCAATACCGAGCTGATAAATGTTGTTCGCCTCCATCATCTGTCCCGCAGACGCGAGAAAGATCGCGTACGCCTCGTACATTAACGAGCATCTGAGCCCGACTCCCTTCTCCTCCATCAGCTCGAAAACCATTTTAAAGTCCTGGATGGCATCTCCCTTCACTCCCGTGAAACATAGAACAATTAGAAATTAACCGCAGAGAGAGCCAAAAATTCGGAAATCCAAGCGTATTGCATCCCGTACATACATAAAGGACCAGAATTTTGATGAATCTGATGTCGTCTCGGTATCTCCGCGCATCGATGAATTTCCTCACGCAGCTCTCCAGGAGTCTCACGTAATTCTCAGACGCCACGCCGTCTCCCTCGGGTCTCCGTCGGAATTCTTCGAACGCATCGTCTATGGACGCTAACCAGGAGATGATGGGATCGGCCGTAGAACGAGGGGACCTGTCCATCCGCAACAGCGACCATGATCCCAATGCTGGGGCACAGACCCACGCGCACACAGATTCACGGAAAACTGAGAAAGCGGGTGCTTCAAACCTGGAAAATGACGCCTCGCGCAGCGGGCTTGTGGTCACGGAGCGGCGGAGAGGATGAACCATTTCTCGCGGCGGCGGAGAAGCCGGCGGCCACCGAGAGAAGCCGAGCAGCCGGAGTAGGTGACGGGTTCAAATTTTTCAGGAGCAAGAACGAGAGGGAAAGTCCAAAGTCAAATGACAAAAATACCCTTATGATCGGCGTTTTACGAACCACGGCCAACTGACGGTTCACTCGTTCTCGTTTTCATAGGTCCCCCGATGCTCGTAAGGTTTCGTATCAACAACCCAGAGAGTCGACTTCTATTCATATCGCGCTGAAACCACGTCTCTTCTTCACGCTGTCTCTATCCATCAGTGTCCTTATACGCTCGGCGTCACCCCATCTCCCCCCCAGCGCGTACAAATCCGACACAAGAGCATACACCCCGCCATCGACGTCCGGATTCGCCATCCCGAGGACCCGTTCGATCAGCTTCTCGGCAACGGCGAGGTTTCTGTGCGTCTTGCAGGACGCCAGCAGAGAGGTCAAGATAACGATGTTGGGCTCGACCTTCATCTTCCTCACGAGGTCGTAGGCCTCCTCCAGCAGCCCCGCCTTCCCCAACAAGTCCACCACGCAGCCGTAGTGGTGAACGCCCGCCGTGAGCCCATACTCCTCCGTCATGGCGTGGAAATTTTTCTTGCCCTCTTCGACCAACCCGGCGTGGCAGCAGGCGTTGAGCACCCCCGTGAAGGTGATCTCATTGGGCCTCACGCCCTGCTCCTTCATGCGTCTGAAGAAGGCCATGGCTTCTTCGCCGCGGCCGTGCGTGGCCAGCCCGCAGATCATAGCGCTCCAGGGCATGACGTTCTTGTCAGGCATTCTGTGGAACACCAAGTTGGCGCTCCTCAGGCACCCGGACTTGGCGTACATGTCGACGAGCGCGGTCCCCAGCTGAACGTTGATCTCCATGCCGCTCTTCTGACTGTAGGCGTGGATGGACTTGCCCAGAAGCCTCGTAGAGGCTCTCGCGGCGCAGCAGGAGAGCAACGTCACGAGCGTCGACTGGTCGGGCTTCAGCTCCTCGGCCCACATCAACTCGCGGAAGAGCCGAAAGGCCTGAGCCCACTCGCCTTGTCCGACATAGCCCCCGATCATGGCCGACCACGAGGCGATGTCTCTCTCGGGCATTTCTTCAAAGAGCAAGCGGGCGCGACTGATCTCCCCCTGCTTCGCGTAGCCCGAAATCATGGTGTTTATCGTGACGGTATTTCTGTTCGGCATTTCCTCGAACAGGAGACGGGCGTCGGGGAAGGAGGCGAGAACGTAGCCATGGAGCAGCGCGGTTGCGACGTAGACGTGGAAGTGGTGCCCTGCCTTGAGGAGGTGGGCGTGGAGGTGGCGCACGAAGTTCGCGCAGCGGAGGCGGGAGCAGCAGGCCTTGAGAATAAACACGGCGGCGTGGGAGCCGAGTGGGTGGAGGCGGGAGTAATCTCCGTTCACCACGGTGATCTTGTAAAGGCACATCGCTTCCTGCGGGTTGGAGGCGCTCTTGATGGCGGAGAGGGCGCGCGGGAGGGAGGAGAAAGGTGAGGACGGCATGCGGGTGAGCAGACGAGAAGCCAGCTGATGGCCCACAACAGGAGAACGTAGCGCGAGGCATGAAGGGAGAGGCGGGGGAAGAAGAAGGCAAAGACCCTTCGGGAGACGTTGGTGACAGTAGCGAGATTCAGGTGCGTCTGCTAAGAATCCAAGGGCTGATATGGGGCAGCAACGAAATTCTCACGTCTTACCAGGACTAAAATTATGAACTTGCTCACGAAAGGATTCCAAGGGACGATATGGGTTCCTATTTGTTTCTTTGAAAAATATTGCATTCTAGAAATCTTCATAGAATGTAAAGAAAATGACGTAAATTCCGAACATTTTTAGTTTGTTGCACTGTTCGCTGCATATGCTTTGACTTTCAATTATTTATTTGTTGATATCTGCATTCCTTTGCTATAAATAGAATTTTAAGTCTAAAACTTAATTTACACCTGAAAATATGTGAATTAATATCTTAAAAATTGTTACAGTTAATATCTTACAAATTTGTTGACCAGCTGGATGCAACATATTTTCCTCACAGATTTCTTTCAGATTTCTTTCAGATTTAGAGGATTTGGTCTCTAAATTCGAATTTTGACCTCATAAAGTGTAAAAAGACGTGGTAACTTCAGAACAATTCGAGATTTAAAGTTTTCTACACCTGTCAGTTCATCTGGTTTGGCTTTCAATTCGTTTATTCTGAGATCCACCCATTCCTTACTATAATTAGAAACTTACTTCCAAGGATTCACTTAAACTGGAAAAATGTGGTTTAATCATGGAAATTAAGAAAAAGAATAATATCTAAATATTTATTTCCGTCATTGACGAATCCAGTTTTTTGTGATTTTTTTTTCATATTTAGAGGATTTTTTCTCAAATTCGAATATGCACCTCATAAAATGTACTGTAAATTTTGAGGACTTTGATATTTAAACTTTTTTTTGCCATTTAGTTCATATCGTTCGTTTTTTTTATATATATATATATACCCATTCCTTTAATATAATTAATAACTTAGACCCAAAACTTATTATAAATCCGAAGAAATGTGAGTCAATCTCGTAAAATATAACTAAATTAATATCTATACCATTTGTTTCCACTGTTTTAATAAATAATGTTTATCCTTCGAATTTAAACACTGATTTTCCCTAAATTATAATTGAAAAATAAAAAAAAAATAAAATTCTTGAAGATAACTAAATTAATATCTTACAATTCATTATATTCTAGCTTATTTTCATAGCTTATTTTCTACAAGTAAGTTAGAACTGCCTCTACATTTCTTGTGTGAAGATGAGGGCAACTTTCTCAATGAAACCTTGGTAGGTAACTAGGCCCTTACATCTGATCTTCCTACAATAGGCTTGTCTCTTCGTAGATTCAGTGTCAGATAGAATGGCACCCTGTAATCAACAACATCTCTAGGTGGGTCAGCCCGATCACCATTACTTTTACGGCGGCCCAGGACCCCTCTTCTTCATAGGTCAAGGTCTCACTACTGTCGGCGGCCGGGCCTGTAGGCGGGTGACGGAGGGCACCCAGATACCTTCTACAACGGGTTGCAAAACTGTAACTTGGATCCGTTCTCTATGTCCTGCTGTTACTCTCCCGAGTCTAAGAGGAGAGACCTAAAACCTCCCCTTCCTCCTCCGCCCTCCCTTTTCGTAGAGGCCCAAAACCCTCGCCAAGCTCCTTTCCAAGTGTCGCCCTCCTCCAGTAACGTCGAGGTACGCCTTCTGTTTTCCTCCTTCCGCTTATCTTTTGCACTCTCCTCTTTCTCCTGCTATTCTCCTCCCTGTATGATGGCCTCCTCCGGGGAATCCGTCCATCTTCCCTTTCCACGCTTTGCTGCCGACCTGGTTTATGTTGGAAAATCGTGCATCAACAATATGTGGGCCGTTGGGGCGCATCTAATGGATACTTAAGAAGTCTTTGTTCATGATCGACTTTCCAGGGATTTGTCTGGAGGGCCTTAACTTTATGCGTCTTGCGTATATGATGAATCTGAGTTCCAGTCTGTTCATGACCTCTGGTGGGAAACTAGTTTTGCCTTTTGATCTGTGAATATGGTATCTGTTTTTTCTGCTGGGTAGTCATGAATATATCGCGCATCAGTTTCTGCCTAATTGATAATCTGAAGCAACCTAAACTGATCGTTTATAGATAATTGAATTTCTTCCTTCTGATCATGTGTACTCTGAATTAAAATTGTTTCCATGGATCAGAGATTTATTTGGTTATCACAATAATCTTTCGGGAAATGGTTCTCAGGTTGAGAAGGTCCTCCAGAAATGACGTCTTTCGCAGGTCTGTCTCGGTTTTATAACCGGAGTGGCACAAATATTTGCCTGCACCAGCTTCCTTCACAGCTTTTGTCTGCCAGAGGAATCGCGTCAAAGCTATTTATTGCAGGTAATAATATGTATTGGAACATAATAGGGGAAGATCAAAATTGACAAATAATTTAAAACAGAAGCTGGGTTTCTGGGAAATCAGTGAAGGATGGATGAAGAGAGAGAGAGAGAGAGAGAGAGAGTCATAGCCTTTTGCTGAGTTATTTTCTGTAGGAACCATTGATGGCGGGGCCTCCCTCTCTAGAGTATGTATGAATTTTAGTTTTCAACCCACCCTTGCAGGGCTTTCTTTCTATACAACTGACCAGGGTTTATCGGAGGTGTTCTCACAATTTGGCCAAGTTCTTGATGGTTTGCACCACTTCCCATCCATTTTCCTCTGTTGTAATGTTTTCCTTGATGCCTTAATTTCAATCCCGTCTTAAATTGTGTGCCTGACAGCCAAAATAGTCATGGATAGGGGCTCTGGTAGATCGAAGGGCTTTGGCTTTGTGACATATGCATCAGAAGAAGAGGCTGAGAAGGCGGTCTCTGGGATGAATGGAAAGGTCAGGCTTACATCTCCCACTCCTGTGGATGGTTCAGTAGCAGCTTCAATGTTTGACTAATCTGCGACTGATGGGAGCAGGTTCTGAATGGGCGTGTTATATATGTGGAGACCTCGAAGCCCAGACAGTTCTTCCAGGGTTCGCCTCCAATTGCAAGGGGACCACCGAATCCAGCAGGCAACAGTTGAATCTGCATTAGAGGCTCTGATGTAATTTCCGAAACGCCATTGCCATTGCTCACCATTGGCAGCATGCTGGGGGCCTTCTATTGCGTCAGAACCTTGATAAGCATGAATATAAGAAATCCTTCAATATATGTGCTCTTCGTTATTTTTCAAGGGAGCTAAAGAAATATCATAATGCTATTTAGTTTTCCCAGCCGACCAAAATGCTGTAAATTGATTTTCTTTCGGGAAAACTTTTGAGCTATTTTCTTATTACGCTATCCAAACTGTCAGCCTGCCATCAATTTTTATCCTTCAACCAGAATTATTTCCATTTTTCTTGTTAATGTCATGCTTTATTTTAGAAAGCATTCTTGAGATTTACCATTAATGCATTCCAAGTTTGACAAGTGCTTATTTTCTTTATTGTGTACTGATTTATAATTTTTTTACTCATTATTATATGAGTTTTTTTCCCTCTCTTTTTAACTATTTCTATTTTTTCCGTTAGATGTTAGGGACGTTAATGGGTGGAGCAAGTCTGGAAGTTTGGATTGACCCAGTCATTGAAGACTGGAAATAAAAATCAGTCTGTCAGGCTCAATGATGCATATTCTTGGTGGGCTTAGTATATGAACAGGTCTTGGGTATTTGTCCAGAGAATCACATTGGCCACCCCTCTGCTCCACAAGTGAGTCGTTGTATGAATGATTTTCAGAGAAATTGAAGTGAACAGAGAGGCCACTTCTTTGACATCATAGACGCCACTCTAGCCAATTCTCTGTGGACTAAGCTTCATTTAAGACGTTGACTATTTCTCTGAAATACAACCATTTTAGTTGTTATTTTTGGAGTTGTAGTGGATGGTAATAAAGTGTGGGTAAGACTGAAAGTCAGATGAGATAGGTCCAATGGTGCCTTTGTCAAGTGGTGGGTGTATGTATGAAATCTAGTATATTATCTTTACCAAGATTAATGTTACCCAAGTGCAATTGCCCTCTTGGCACTGGTAGGAAGGCCTGGAGTTTACTCAAATGAGAGAATGCAAGACAATGAAATGCATCTAATTCATCGGTCAATTCTTCTAGTAACTTTTTTATTCATATGAATATCTAAGTTCAGAAATTATCATTTGTGCTGCATGAACAAGAAAGCTTCCCTTAGAGAACTTTTTTTTCAGTGGGATTTCATTAAAATTGACTTATAGTTCGTTGTATGGAAGATACCCCTTAGTGGGTTACTTCTTGTGCCAAAAATCAAATAAAGGTCCTTAGTTGGAAGTGAAAACTGCACAAGATGGGCAAGGAATTGTTTGGACTAGTATCATCAATATTAAAATTTTAAAAAAAATCAAGCAAAGGACCTAACATAGTTATACACCAAAATTTGTAGTGGTTTGATCTACTTGTTAACTCTCTCGTCAAATGATTCTATTAATTTGATGTTAGAGCAAGGTTGCATAAACAGTGGAAGGCTCAAATGAGGCAACTTTGAAGGTCCAAAATGACAAAATGTTGTAGACTTGAATCAAAAGTTGTAGGTGGTCCATTGCCATGTTATTAGAAATATTCTGTCATGCTAAAATATAGCATACGTATACAAATGAATTTGAAGGACAGATATCTCTTATGATGCCCACCCAACCTTATGAAAATAAATTATACTCAGTTGTAAATATATACGAATCAATGTGCAATAAATTAAGTGAATTTAAAAATGTGACAAGAAAATTGGAGAACATTTTTGAACCTAGCAGGAACAGCTTAGCTTAATGCTTGCATGTTTTACAATTAATGATTATAATACTTCAAATTTTCAATTATAGGGAAGTTTTCAAAATGTCTAAACTAAACATTGGAAAATGCTATTTCTTCAATTGCTATGTTTTGTACCTTATTTTGTTTTTGCTTAAGTATAAACACTATTTGTAAAAAGGCTGTAGAGAGTATGAATCTATGGGCGTTATGTGTGTCAAATAAAGAATAAATATTTTATATTATGTGACTTAATTATAAGCTTGAGTAGCTCAATGTTAAATGTTTTTTTAAAGTTTATTTAAGAAGTAGTTAATATGTATATTGCATTCATAAAGATGATGAACTGATAATTAAAACTTTATATCAAAAAATGTGTTGCCCTTTGTTTTGGTGATAAATTTGTTTACAATAGTTAACAAGAACAAATCTTTCACTTGAAGTAGGAGCTGAGTTTTATTTTAGAATAAGCTATACTTACATTTTACTTAGAAGCTTACTTCTCTATGAATTTGTAATCAGTCAAAATGTGACAAAAGTTGACGAAGAAAATTTCGATGCTACCCAAGAAAGATCTATACCAAAGACTATCAGCAAAGTGTATATTTTTTTATGGATTGGCCTCTTTTTACTACATATTACTAAAACAATCCAATTCTATTATCACACTTATTCTTCATAATAAAAAGAAAAAAAAATTAAGTTGGAAAGAAATAGCAAATATGAGTTCTTGTCTCATTAAGGAGAAACTATGGTCTACTCTCATATTATCTATTCCAAATTGTGGGTAGTTGTCTATAGTAAAATGTAATGTAATGATTGTGAGAGTAAAACCTCTATGACCTCAAGAGGTCATCATGTACCCTTTTATAGGAGAAGGTGATATGCCCAAAGTTGTCATTAGTTTAAGCACTCAAATTTAATATTTATAACTAAAAACCCAAATAAGCTCTCTTTAATTATAAGGATTTCAGGTTGATCCTCAAGGAAATTAGAAAGCTGAAAACATCATTATCTAACTAAAAATTAAGAAAATCTCATAATATATAGATAACTAATTCTAATTTAATATCTTTAGAAGTTATTGCGTAATTCAATATGTCATTTTCTAAATAATAACATTACTAGAGGTCAACAATTAGAAATTGAGGACATAAAAAATAAAAGAGAAAGTAGTAATGGTAAAATTTAAAAACCTAAACTAAACTTATTCTAAAATCATGAAAAAATTACATAAGCTAATAAAATAATTGTGCTATGCTTTCTCTTAAAACATTAACTCTCAATCGAATTTGTTCCAAGGAAGGGTCAAAAATACAGAAATTTTAGGAAATAATATTTGTAAAATCTAAAAAATTATTTTAAACATTTGATAAAATCATGAAAAAATTATTAAAGATAATAAACTAATATTCTATGTTTTTGAAACATATCGTGATCTAATTCTATGTGGAATTCATGAAATCAGATTTGATCCAAGGAAAGGTCAAAAATAAGAAACTCAAAAAATAATTTCTGATGATGTGCTGATGATTTTGTCACCAAATCATGAAAACATGATCGTTCCAAGAGATAAAACATTCATTCAATTCGTAATAAAGTAAAGTATCTGGAAAAAAATATAAAGTTAAAAGAAACTACACGATTGGATATAGATATTGTTTGCTACCCATAAAATAATTTTCGATGACATGCTTAATGATTTCATCATCAAATCATCAAAACATGATTGTTTGAAGAGATAAAACATTCATTGAATATGTAAGAAAGTAAGATATCTGGAAAAAGTTATAAACCTAAAAGAAATTTCATGAGTTGATATAGATTTTCCTTCTTCTACCTTGGTGTCACCATCAAAACGTGAGAAGTGAGGGATAGAGAAGAAGAACTCATTAGAAATTCAATAAAATGCCATCTCTAAAATGATACTCATCATATACAAAATAAAAGGGGGTCTAAGGAGTTAAGAAAAGAGAGGAAAAGGAGGAGGGCTCGTCCTTGCAACCTAAAGTCTTTGTTCAGCATGAAAAAATATCCCCTTTTATTTGCCCTCTCGTTGTGTTTTATTCTTTTATGCCCCAATCAGCCCTTTCTCATGTTTGGGGCCTTTGAGCTTTAACATTCTATGTTAATTCTTCTCACTTTGGTAAAACTATAGAAATTAATCTCCTTGGAATAAAATTTCGAAATTCGAAATTCGTGTTCTTGATAAATTAAGACACATTTTGAATGTGATAAACATGATAAAAAGGTTAGAAAATGTTATTAATTAAATTCATAAGTTGCATGATATAGATATAGTTGTTTAAAGTCATTTATATATATCTTTTAACTGTTGCTCTAATATGAAGAGATATAGTAATTCATACTTATTATGATTCACTAATGCAAAATTCGAACAGAAAATTAATTAATTTTTAGTGAGAGATAAATATTTATCACATCCCCCTACTAAAGTATTGCTAGTCCCTTAGCAATGAATGTATAAAAAAATATAGGCTAGGACTAATCACAACATTAAAAATAAATGTGTCATCCATCATGTTATGAATACCTCAGATAAAGCATGAGTTTAGAATTCTATGGTAAGTGAGGAATATGTACCAAGTGCTTGTCTAAGTGCCCCCCAAATCTTGGTATGTCCTTGATGTGACTTAGTTGTTGTATATTAAATCACGCAAATCTAAAATTTATAAAACTAGAAAATATGAATTTTTAGATATTTAGAACTATTTCTAAATAAATATATCAATTTTAATTCAATAAAACATCAAAAAAATAGCAATGATTTTTCAAGTCGATCACAAGGATGTAATATAATATCTGGTAATTATTTTGAATTTTTCTCAATGAATACAATTTTCTATGAATTTTATACTATAAAATAAAAAAAATATTTAAAATTTACGAAAAAGAGAAATAAGGGTACTGATGTCAGGATGACATCAATGCTTGGCGAACACAAATCGGGCAAAAATAGAGTTTCACCTAATGATTCTTACATAAGTAATTATAGACTAATTAATTAATTAAATTAAGATCTATAAAAGTCAAAAGAATCGTAATCGAACAAAGTATATTTTGGTAAATTAAAATCACAAAAATTATCACTAAATGAAGTGTAAAGTAAGTTGAAAGTAGGAAAATAGAGTTCCGACATTTCAATGGCAATGCGTCGGTGATGTACTAGAATCTTGAGCATTCAGGAAGATCATTATGTAGTGTCCACAGTCTCAAAGGCTTTCCTTGGAAAAAGATGACGTAGGCAATCTCTAAATCTCCTTGCGAAGTCTAGAGATTAATAAAATAGGTCGTCAAATCATCTATAGCAGCTGTCACCCAATAGAGCAAAAAAATAATGACTTTGTGGCTCTCTGACGACTGTCACTCGATGAAGAGGAGCTAGATGGAGGTGGGGTGTATGTTAGGGAGCTTCATCCTCAGTTCTACGCAGCAAGAAGAGGCTCTTCATTGCAATCTTTTTATCACGAATCGTTCAATAATTTTAATAACAATGCTCTGCAAATTGTGTTGACAAGATTTTCACCGATGATTTAGCAATTCTGGTTACTTAATCCTTCACCAGCAATCTACAGGAAAGTCGTGATAATCAGATAAAAAAAATAAGTTTTGGCTCTAGGAGAATTTGAACCCATGCCGATTGCCCGTCCCTTCTAAGGAAGGTGTGACGCGGGTTTAATCCCACATCGGTTGTGCACTGATTTTTTAGGCGAATATATAGTAATGTTAGATTTCTAAGCAAAGTTCTTTCTCTCGTGTGTACGACCGCTCCTTACCCCACAGCCGGCTAGCCACCGATGATGTGGAAGGGGAGTGGCGTACACGTGCCCCTATCTATCCAAGTTGCTTGAGCCCCTACTCGTGACTACTCCCTAACTGAGCTTCTGACCTACTTGCAGGCCCAACTAGTCGACAGGTCCCCTTCATTTTGTCTTATTTTTATTTTTTATTTTTTATTCTTTATTTATCTCAAAAGCAAGACTGTAAAAATTATATAAATCTGTGTAAAATCACGTAATTACTCAAAAAATTACATTAATTAACTAAAAACCACTTTTTACACTTTAACACAAATATAAGTCTATTTATCATGAGTTAAGGCTAAAACTATATTATTTACTAATTATTAACTCATGATAATGAAGACTTATCAGTCCTCCACATCATTAAGTCATCAATTCTCATCCAAATACTATGTGAAACCTTTGTAGGGTTTAAGGTCAACTCCTCCAAGTCCCTTAGGAGTATCTATTACCCTTCTATCCCCCCTTTCTGTCGAAAAGTATTTAAATCATCAATTGCCACTAGGGTTGGGGTAGGCAAACTTTAAGCTTTACATACATTGCCTTTTTGCCTTAAGAAAGAGGTTAGATCGTGTAGAGTGAATGAGGTTTAGAAGATGTAGAGTTTAAATCATGGCAATTATAGGCTTTAACTTTAACTTTGACTTTGAGCTTCTTCTTTTTTTTTCTACCCCACTCTTTTACCCTTGCTTCGTTATATAACCTTTTTTTTTACTTTAATTTTCTAGGAGTTTCATACTTTTGCTAGCTACTAAGGACTTAAGATGATAGTACTTCAAGGTTACTTGGCTGGGAAAGACTCTAAATAAACCCAAGGGGTTGGGGAAGAATAGCTCTCCCTAGTAGGAGATAGAACTAGGTGTGACTAGTGAACCTAGCCTTAAGAGTACAATGGAAAACCTTAATGCTAAGAACAACGAGTGGACAAGAGTTCAATTTTTCTCTCCCTCTTAGATCATAATCATCCTCTCATACTCATCCAAGATGGACCCACTAAGAAGGATGGTATTGAAAGATGATACTATATTAGGGTGTTGCATTAAATATGCTGCAATCTGCATACTTCAAAGTTGAAAATTTACCAAATTTCATGCAATTTAGGCGATCCCCCCACTTAAGTTCCATTGGCCTCAATGGCAAGTATACTACATGCTCATGTATGAAAACATAAATCAAGGGGTAGGATATAACCTGAATTTTGGAGTCATTTCGATGTTGTGGCATTGTTGGGCTTCTCCTTTCACTATCTTCTTGATTCCTTCTCCTCTATACTTAGATTGAAAATAGGAAGAAAAAAAAAGAAAAAAAAGATAACAAAAACAAACAAAACAAAGGGATATCTATTTAAGGTTTTGGGGTACCTCCCAAGAGGGCTTTGTTTAATGTCTTTAGCTAGACTCATGTAAACTCATGGGTTAGTGAGGAGCAAAGACTCTTTAGATGGTTGAGGATCATGTTCAAGATAGGTTTTCAAATGTTGACCATTCACAATAAAAGATCTATCATTTTTGGGATCAAGAAGTTTAATCACCCCATTATCCAAAACATGTAAAACAATGTATGGCCCATCCCATCTAGATTTAAGTTTTCTAGGAAATAATCTTAGTCTTGAATTAAAAAGCCATACATTTTGACCTTCAATGAAGTTCTGCCTCATAATGTGCTTATCATGATAAGGCTTCATTTTTTTCTTATAGATTCTTTAACTACTTATTGATTCTTCATTTCCTTAGTTCCTCAAGTTCACTCATTTGGAGAAGTATCGCGTTGCCTGCCCCATCTATGTACATATTCAATTGCTTGATGGCCCAATATGCTTTATATTTAATCTCTACAAGAAGCTGACAAGCTTTACCAAAGACTAACCTATAGGGTGACATTCTTAAGGGAAACTTATAAGTTGTCCTATAGGCCCGAAGTGTATCTTCTAATTTTTTAGACAAATCTTTCCTTTTGGCTCTAATGATCTTTTGAAGTATCCTCTTGATTTCTTTATTGGACATCTCTACTTGACCATTGGACTGTGGATGATAAGGTGTAGAGATCTTGTGGGTGACTCTGTTATTTCTCAATAGTACTTTCAATTGAGAATTAATGAAATGGGTACCATTGTCACTAATGATAGTTTTACAACACCTAAATTTAGCGAAAATATTACTCTTCAAAAAATTCAAGACAACCTTATGGTCACAAGTCTTTGTAGGTATTGCTTCAATCCACTTAGAAACATAATTGACGGCTACTAAGATGTACTCATATCCAAAAGAAGAAGGGAAAGGACTCATGAAGTCTATCCCTAAAACATCAAAGATTTCTACTACTATGATGGGCTGTAAAAGCATCATGTCTTTGACTGAAATGTTAGTGAATGCTTGACATTCTAAGTAATGCTTAGCATGCTGAAATGAATCCTTAAATAATGAAGGCCAAGAAAATCCACTTTTCAATACCTTGGCTGCAATTTTCTTACCTGATAAGTGACCTCTGCTTGGTGAAGCATGGCACATGTAAAGAATGTTTTCTTGTTCCTCCTTTGTGACACATCTTCTCAGAATGTTATCAGGCCCAAAATTAAATAAATAAGGTTCATCCCATAAGAAATATTTGCTTTTAGCAAAGAGAAGATTTTTCTCGTGAGTAGATCATCCTTTAAGTACTTGACCTGTTATCTAGTAATTGATGATGTGCGCATACCAAGGAGGATTATATCTGCTACTAATATTTAAAATATGTTCATTAGGAAAAGAATCATTTAACTCCTTGATATCATTTCTATTAATCCTAGAAAGATGATCAGGGACTACATTATCAAATCCTTATTCATCCCTAATCTCAAGATCAAACTCTTGTAATAGCAAGATACATCTAACAAGTCTAGGCTTAGAATTTTTCATTCCTAAAAGATATTTCAAGGCTGCATGATCAATGTAAATAATGATTTTAGATCCAAATGATATAGCTCTAAACTTCTCTAAAGCAAAGACAACAATCAATAACTCTTTTTCACTAGTAGTATAGTTAGATTGAGCCTCACCTAATGTCTTACTTGCATAATATATGATTGCTGGTTTTCTTTCACTTCTCTACCCTAAAACAACACCCATAGCATAGTTAGAAGCATCACACATAATTTTAAAAGGTTTCCCTCAATTAGGAGATCTCAAAATTGGTGCTTCTATCAATATATTTTTAAGAATGTTGAAGGCTTCTAAACATTCATAGGAAAACATAAATGCATTATCCTTGGCTAAGAGGAAAGTCAATGGCCTAGAAATCTTGCAGAAGTTTTTAATAAATCTTCTATAAAATCCAGCATGTCCTAAAAATGACTTTAGTCTTTTTAGGGTAGTAGGAGGAGATAAATTTTGAATTATGATACATTTGCTTTATCTACCTCAATTCCTCTTTCACTTACCACATGTCCAAGAATAATTCTTTCTTTAACCATGAAATGACTATTTTTCTAACTTAGAACAAGCTTGGACTCCACACATCTAGCCAATACTTGCTTGAGATGTCCTAAACACTCATCAAAAGAAGATCTAAAAATGAAAAAGTCATCCATGGAAACTTTAAAAATCACTTAGCATATCAGAGAATAAAGACATCATGCATCTTTGAAAAGTGATTAGAGCATTACATAATCCAAAAGGCATCTTTGTAAATGCAAATGTACCAAAAGAACAAGTGAAAATAGTCTTCTCTTGATCATTAGGGTGGGCGCTAATTGATTATACCTTGAATATCCATCAAGAAAAGAAAAATATGTTTTCCAGCCAACTTTTTAAGAACTTGATCAATAAAAGGCAAAGGAAAATAATCTTTTTTAGTGGCTAAATTTAACTTCCTATAATCAATGCATACCCACCATTTAGTAGGGAATCTAATTTTTATTTCTTCACCATGCTCATTAGTTGATATGGTTAGGCCTGATATTTTTGGCACAACATGAATGGGACTAACCTATTGGCTATCGGAAATAGGGTAAATAAAATGATCCTCTAACTATTGAATAATTTTATTTTTAACTACTTCCATCATATTTAGATTTAGTCACCTTTGACACTCATGTGTAGGTTTAATATTTTCATTCAAAAAAAATTATGCATGCATATATCAGGACTAATACCTTATAAATCACTCATATGCCATCCTAAGGCACATTTATATTCTTTAAAACAGAAAGTAATTTTGATTCTTCATCAAAAGTTAAATGAGATGCAATAATAACAGGCATAGTATCATTAGCTCCTAAAAATATATATAGTTCAAGTTTTTTGGAAGAGGTTTAAGGTCTAAATTATTGTGAGCATTCAAAGGTAAAACAATAGGTTCATGTGAAGGATTTTCAAATATTTCTTGCAAAGTAGGAGATAAATTTTCAGAAGAAGTATCAAACATACATAACTTCTCAACGATTCAATCAACTACATCATACTCTTCTCCTTCATCTTCTTCCTTAGCAAACCTAGCTGCCTTAAATACATTTAATAAAATATGATGACCACCACCATAAATATCTACTATTCTAGTGGCACAATTTATATTAGCACTAGCTGTAGGTAAAAAGGGACGTCCCAAAATAATAGCTGATTCTTTAGAATTTTCAGGTGGCATCATATCCAGAACTAAAAAATCAACTAGAAAATAGCATCCTTCGATATTGATTATAAAATCCTCAATTAATCCTTTAGGATATCTAATAGATCTGTCCCCTAAAGAGAGAATAGTACCAATGGGTTTTAATTCTCCTAAATCAATTTTTTCAAAAAGGCAAGTTGGAAGGAGGTTCACACTCACACCCAAATCTAGTAAAGCCTTGTTGAAAGTCATACCTTTTCTTAATGCAACAAGAGACAAGTGAGCCCTTGGATCTTTTCTTTTCTTGGGAACTTCATTTAAAATCATAGCGCTAATCCCAAGTGAGGTTAATTTTCTAGCTTTCTCTATTTGGAGTACAAAGATATTTCAAAAATTTAGCATAAGATGGAACATGTCGAATAGCATTAACCAAAGGGATTTAAATTTGAACTTTAGAAAATAATTCTTGTAATTCATGCTCATCAATATGCTTCTTTTTATCTTTTAAGTGAGGAAAAAGAGCTGAAGGAAAAGGAATAGGAATAGGTGAACTATAAGCTTGGGTCTTTTTAGATAGCTCTATCTCTTTTCGTTCTCTTTTTCTCCACTCTCACCAAGCTCCTTCAAGATGGATTTTCCTTTCTTCTTTTCTTCCTCATTCTCTCTATCTCTAATTTCATTTTCTTGATCAGAAATAATGTTTTCTTTCTCCTGCACATCATCCCTAATTTAGGTAAGCTTGGATCACTTGAAGGCATCCTAATGGCTTTGAGTATCAACTTACCATTCCTAAGTCTCATCACCTCCTTAATCTCTTCTATTTGAGATCCTTGGCTAGTACTAGGGCCTTGACCACTAATCATGGAGGCGGTAGGGATAGAATGTGTAAAACCAGGAGGATAATTCTTAGGATTAGTTATGGCTTGACTAAGGAGTTGCCCTCTAGGGTTTACCTCATTTGGTTGACTCTCTTGATTGTTTGACCTCTGAAATATTTGCAATATTTGTTGGTTTTGGGCCATTAATTGTGCCATAGCTTGTTGTTGCTGTTGTAATTGATCCTTCAAATAATTAACAATCTCCTCTAAATGGATATTAGGAACATGAGATAGAGCTCCTAAGGGCACTCTATTGTGCATAGGATGTGGAAAATGGTTTTGAGGATATGAGACAATTTGAAAAGGTATTTGATTTTGAAAAGGAGACATCTGATTTTGAAAATTAGAGTTAAAAACAGATGGGTTTTGGAAATTTTGGATTTTTTTTTAAAAGATATAAAGGATTTTGTGATGAAGGATTTATATTTTGAAAACTATGAGATGGAGGTTTTGAAAATTACATGCCTTGAGGACTTGAATTCCAAGTAGAATTTTGATGAGGATAAGAATTAAATTAGGTTTTGAAAATTCATTGACATGCTCATGACCAAGATTTATATATTGTAGAAATGTAGGACAAGTATTCTCATCATGACCAATGCTAATACAAAAAGAACAAACTAAAATTTTCAAAGTTGGGGTTTTAGGTTTTGTGTACCTTGAGAAGAGAGTAGTTTCTCCAACTTCTTGTTGATTTCATTGATTTCATTCTTCAAATCCTTATCTGTATGCTTGATCAATTCATAAACATCATTATTTTCAAGGGAGGATTAGTTCTATCAAAATCCGAAGAGGTATAATTATAAGAATTTTCACTCAATTCTTCTAGAAGTTTTTCCATGAGGATAAAGATTTCTAAGAAATTTCTAAACCAATTTAGACCATGTAATATTTCTCAATTTAAGAGTGGAAATCCAGTTACTTGCTTCTTCCTTAAGTGAGAATGGAAATAGAGTAATTTTCAAGGAATCATCTACACCCTTTATATAATTGCACATATTTTCAGAAACTCTTGCAAATGATCATAAGTGTTTTCATTTAAATTTGGTAAAATCTGAAAAACACCTGGGTTAATATCATACATGCAAATAAGATTTTCAAAAAGTTCAATGCCACTAGATGGATTAAAATATTCATTCAAAGACTTAGGCACTTCATTAACTTGATCAAGATTTTCACTCAGATTATCTATTCTAGTAGGTTTAGAGCTTTTAGAAGTTTTAAAGGTAGGAGCAGACTCTAATGAAATCAAATCATGGTTTAGAGATCTCCTACCAAGCATAAATCAAAAAAAAATCCAGAGTTTAGAAATACCTCAAGTGATTTATCACCTTTGGGGATGTCCATTGAATTTTTCTTGATCTTTTCTTTTTTTTTTCTACAGAAAAAAAACGTAAGGAGAGAAAGAAAATATATAAATGTAATAATGATGCCAACTTTGTCTAGTTTCCCTAATAATGGCACCAAAATTTGATATGCCCAAAGTTATCATTAGTTTAAGCACTCAAATTTTGATATTTATAACTAAAAACCTAAATAAGCTCTCTTTAATTATAGGGATTTCAAGTTGATCCTCAGAGAAATTAGAAAGTTGAAAACAACATTATTCAATTATAAAAGTTAAGAAAATCTTATAATATATAGATAACTAACTCTACTTTAATATCTTTAAAAGTTACCACGTAATTCAATATGTCATTCTCTTAATAATATATTACTAGAGGTCAACAATTAGAAATCGACGATATAAAAAAAAAATAGAGAAATCACAAATACTAAAATGTGGAAACCTAAACCAAACTTATTCTAAAATCACGAAAAAATTACATAAGCTAATAAATTAATTGTGCTACACTTTCCCAGAACACATTAACCTAATTCCATGTGGCACTTGTGAAATCGAATTCGTTCTAGGAAAGGGTAAAAAATACAGAAATTTCAGGAAATAATATTTGTAAAATCTAAAAACTTATCTTACACATTTGGTAAAATCATGAAAAAATTATAAAAGATATTAAACTAACTATTACAAGTTTTTCCAAAATATCATGACCTAATTCTATGTGGAACTCGTGAAATCAGATTTGATCCAAGAAAAGGTCAAAATAAGAAACTCAAAAAATAATTTCCGATTATTTTGTCACAAAATCATGAAAACATGATCGTTCCAAGAGATCAAATATTCATTGAATTCCTATGAAATTAAGATATCTGGAAAAAATCATAAAGTTAAAAGAAACTACACGATTGGATACAAATATCGTTTGCTACCCATAAAATAATTTTTGAAGAAATGTTTGATGATTCTATCACCAAATCATCAAAACATGATCGTTTGAAGAGATAAAACATTCATTGAATATGTAAGAAAGTAAGATATCTGGAAAAAGTTATAAACCTAAAAGAAATTTCATGAGTTGATATAGATTTTCCTTCTTCTACCTAGGTGTCACCATCAAAACGTGAGAAGTGAGGGATAGAGAAGAAGAACTCATTAGAAAATCAATAAAATGCCATCTATAAAATGATACTCATCATCTACAAAATAAAAGGGGGTCTAAGGAGTTAAGAAAAGAGAGGAAAAGGAAGAGAGCTCGTCCTTGCAACCTAAAGTCTTTGTTGAGTGTGAAAAAATATCCCCTTTTATTTGCCCTCTCTTGGGTTTATATACCTACGCTCATTTGGGCCTTTCTTCTCCATTCTTTGCGTGGCTTGATTGAGCCTGATCTTTTGGGTGTTGTGTTTTATTCTTTTATGCCCCAATCAGCCCTTTCTCATATTTGGGGTCTTTGAGCTTTAACATTCTATGTTAATTCTTCTCACTTTGGTAAAACAATAGAAATTAATCTCTTTGGAATAAAATTTCGAAATTTGAAATCTGTGTTGTTGATAAATTAAGACACATTCTGAATGAGATAAACCTTAGAAAAAGGTTAGAAAATGTTATTAATTAAATTCATAATTTGCATGATATAGATATAGCTATTTAAAGTCATTTATATATATATTTTAATTGTTGCTCTAATATGAAGAGATATAGTAATTCATACTTAATATGATTCATTAATGCAAAAGCAGAACAGAAAATTAATTAATTTTTAGTGATAAATAAATCTCTATCAAAAGGCAGACTAGTTTCAAAATAATGTAAGCCCCTTTTCAAATAGAATGATATGAGGTAGTTAGACTAGAAAATGTTGGAGCACTATGCTATTCAATGAGAATTTATATTATTCACAAATGTGGTGGTTGTGATTTGTCAAAAGAAAACACATGATGGAATAGGAGTAGCTAAATAATTTTTCAGGTAAGTGATTTGTTTGCATGGTCCCACAATATCACCTCTGCAACCGAGATACAAGTTTTTTCTAGCATTTCAAGCTGTCTTTTTAAGTGATTAAATTCATGATTGAAATTTAGTGATAAAAATCAGTCTCAAACTAAGGTGAAAAATAGGATGCCCAACAATTTGATTCCTTCCATTTTAGAAGATAAACCAAGGCAATGAACTTGGCCTTTGCTCTATCAGACTCTATCCTTGGGCTTTGATGGCATGCCACATCATATCAAAACATTTCATGAAAGTACAAAGAAGAAATTTTCAGTGAATTATAACAACTATTTAACAACATCTGATAAGACAAGACAAAAAAAGATATTTGAAACAGATGATTCAATCATCATAAACTTGAAAAGAGATATTTCCAATTGGTAGTTATGGGAAGTTGAAGCCGAAAATCATTGACACAGCCTATATTATTGATTGACAACTAAAAATGACTGTATCTTTGATCCTTAAAGTGGTGAGACTTAAATACATTGTAAGATCCAGGCTAGATGGTAAGCTCTTCTCAAACAAGGGAGACTGATGTACGACATTACTTTAGTAAACGAAAAATGGTCAAAATTTGTGACCCAAGTGATCTGAAAAGATAAGAGGTTGACTATAAAGGTTTGAAGGCCTAAAACGATTACAAAGCCCAAAATTCAAGAATTTAGGTTCAAAGCTGCGCGGATAATGTGCCACATGAGTAGAAACCCGAAGATGTTTAAATAAGGCTTGAACTTGTATGCCATGCTGTATGGCCGAATCTGATTTTGTAGGTAGCTTTCCAATGTCAGCGCATGGGATGGATTATGAAGCAATCGTAAAAGGGATCAAGATGAAGAATAAGATTCATAGACACAGGTTCAGCCATATGACTGATTATCTCACCAATGTTCAGACGCGACAGATGCTTTGAAGCCATCAATTTGATGTGATACACCTTGGTAGGAGGAACAAGAGCCCAACACGGCCTTCCACCTTTCTAAATCTTTCCTATCTCATGTAAAAGAAGCAGGATTAAGAGGAAGGGAGTGTGGGGATCTGAGGTAACAAACTGGTATGGGGAGGGAAGTGGAGATAAGATCCTTAGGTTTTCTTAATCCTTGCACAAACTTGAGCGATCGATCATATACTGAGATTGGGTTACCCAGGAGAAACACAACTGCTAAGGACTAGTTGGTTTTGTTGAATACAATACCTCGAGAGATACGAGTTTGATCTTTGACAGGTTCGAAAATCGAGGAACATACCAGGCGCGTCATTGAATTCCAGCCTGTTTCTGGCATGCTGCTAGAACCACTTTTGTAACTTCGCAATCGGTATTCTCAATGTGGATGTTTCAGTTCAGGCACACTACTCCCTTGGCTATCCAGAAAAAGGCATGGGATACGCGAACAGCTATCTTGATAATAGTAGAACAGACTCCTAATAAATACGTCACTATTCAGGGTGAAAATGAATCAGATCCTAGGTTGGGTGAGGAAACAACAATGTGGGCTCAATACCGGACCAAGAAGAGAAGAGTCAACCCCTCTTCCTCCTCTTCTTCTCTCTCCCTCGACTTCAGATTTCCTCCTCTTCAGTTGATATTCAGGGGCAGGGACGTCTTCTTCTCGTCTCAGACTTTGGACACACACAATAGGAGGATGGTTTTTAAATTTTGTCCCTAAAATTGAACTAAGAGATGTCATTATTGAAAATTTAGTCAGATTTGGCCTAGCATTAGAATGGGTAAGAAACACCACCGATTTCATGGCAATCTTTAAGCTGCTCGTATTGCTTGTAGTGAGCGACTTGAAGGAATCACCAGAGCTAACTCGTTAATGGCGCCGAGATGCCTTCTCATGGATTACCAGTTTATTCATGAATCTAAAAGACATGCTATGTCATTATTCAGCGTTGTAGTTCGTTCCATTCTGGATGATCAATATAGTACAGAGCGACATCTCCACACGAATCGGCGTAGAAACTCTTACGTTTAAAAATTTGAAGGTGAATAGATAGTGGCTGAAGGATAGAGGAAGGGCAGAGAAAGAAACCTATGAAGAAAACCAATTACTTTCTATGTGATTTTTGATGTGTTAATGGGACATTCCAAGGTTACTAGAAAGTATATGAATATATATTTAGTTATTCTTTCTCACAAGAAGACTCTTTATCCGTGACTTTTCAACGTGTGTAGGTCTCATAGATGGTGAAATTATCTCAGCGAGACACATGACTATTAGAAAAACACTCAATCTCCAGAGAGGTTACCAATCTCTCTGCCAAGTTAGAAGCTACAGAAAAAATAAATGAAAATAAGGAATTTGTTCAATTATTAAAAAATATTTTTTACCTCCTACAGAAATTACAGAACCCAGCCTTACAACATAAGGAATTACTCAAAACAGAAGGATATTTTGAATCTACTTCTTTGCAAAAATTGCTTGATTAGAATGCTTCCATGCACAAGCTCGCCAATGCCCAAGGTCTTCCTTGTCCTTTTATGTAAATCTCTATCCTAGGAAGCCAATATATCAATTTTTGTTCTTGCTTTATTTCATCCCTTTTATATACCAAGAATAAACTTCGTCATTCCCATCTTTCCTCTTCGCATAACTGCTGTTTTTCTGGTTCTTCCGCTCGGAGGCATGATGATCGAACCCTTGACAATCGCAGCATTCTAGTCGAGAGTTATCATAATTTGTATTTTCATATGATTCCCTTGTGGCGCTGCTACCATAAATTGGTTCTCGCATTCGGATCTTACTTTCCCCATTTTTCTTATATATTTCAATCACGCATATATGATTTTATGTTTCTCTGAGCTAGGTTGAACCATCTTCCCCAATAGTCTTTTCTCAAAAGCACACTCCTTCCGACATTGTCTTCGAGCACCCGTTCATATGCATAGTGGAACATTTTCAACTCACTTTTGGAAAGCTTTGTTGTACCTTGGAGACAACATTGTGTTCCGGAGTTATAGATCCAACATTAGGTAGGAAAATATAGAAAACCGGGCTTTTATTGAAGTTCTCCACTCAGCACAACCGAGAACTACGTGTGCGTAAGCAGTAGATGAATATTACGAGCATATACATTCTATACACAGCTGTTCCTTCAGGATCCCAAGATGGTGCACTTCTACAGATCTACAGATGACAAGGTAGGCGAAGGAAGCATAAGAAAGAGAGAAACAAACGAAAACCGGCTACAAAAGAATCTCTCCTTCTCGTCGACCTACCCATTGGAAGAGCAGAGCTAGATTGAGGGGGAGAAATGGGAACTCTGGAAGATGATGGGTAAATAGGGGAAAAAGAGTTGGAGCAGCAGGATGAGACACATCCTTAAGTCGACCATGGGGCGGATCGAGACCGCAGTTCTCTCCCATCAACTGAGGGCATTCACGAAAGCTAACAGCGAATCCAAGCCTCTCTTCTCGGTGGGGTACTTGACGGGCCTCGCCGTGTGCTTGGGGAAAAAGAGGATCGTGGGGAAGCTACCCAGCTGCAATTCCCGATCCGCGAACTGCTTCCGGTCACCGTCTGCCCTGAATTTGGCCACCTTGATGCCTGAACCAGCCAGCTTCTGCGCCAGCTCTACGTAAGAACCCTCCATTTCCTGATCCGCAACAAGGAAGAAGATATCGATTAAGAATCTCTGCAGAAAAATCGGAAGCTCAGATGACAAGGATGGAAGGCTCTTACTTGGCAGAAGCTGCACCAGGGCGCGTACAGCACAACAATCCATGGCTCCTTCCTTCCCCCAATCTTGAGCAAGTTCTCTATCCCGGGCCTGCTAAGGTTCACAATGCCCGGCGCATCGAAGAGATCTGCGGCGGCCGGACCGGCCCCGTTACCTGTCTTTGGCGTCGCCTCATCCTCGCTTATGTTGCCCTTGTGGAGACCACACTCCTTCGACTTGGCATCCTCCCACCACCATCTCCCTTCCCTCTCGTGCTGCCAGGGAAGTACGGGCCTGGTGCAGGGTTCACAGCCAATCGACACGTACCCCTGGAGTACCCCCGCAAAACCGCAAAAACAATAGCATATCGGTCACCAGGAAGCTATACAGTACGAATGTTTTTAGTGTAAGAAGCAACGAGAGTGATCTGAAGTATGGGCATATAGTTTAATCAGACCGATCACATCGTCTCTAGCAATGTCGGATTGTAATAGCAAGTATTACTTTCAATAAATCGAGGTCAATTTGATTTAAAACCGATTTCCTATGAATTTCAATGCATCCGTGCTACTAAAAACCTGACGAAACTCTGCTTGAAAATTACCTGCGAGTGGAGAGAGTTGACTGGAACATTCATGATGCGTAGTAGATTCCAAATATCTCCGCCTTGAACGTTAGCCACTGGATTCCACTTGATCAAACTCCCAGCCCCACCGTCTACCCCTTCGAAGGAGGGATCGACCTGCATGCCCAGAAGAGAACTTATGTCTTCTATCATCCGCAGTAGTTCCGACAGAATTTGAGCAAGTCCGAGGAGGTTTCGACATCACCTGAACTACGGGTATGCTGGCTCTGGTGCCTGGAGACTGATCCTTCCTCTGGCCCGTGATCCAGGCCCGGAGGCCCTTGAGAGCCTTCCTCAGAGGCCTCACCTTCCTCACTCGGCAGCATTCTTCGTGGCCGTCCTCGTAGAAGGAGAACAGGCCCTTGTTCCTCACGAGGCCCTGGACTTCCACCGCTTCAGGGAACACGTACTCTATGCGGATGTTGTAGTGCTTCTCCACGGCGTCGAAGAACTGGTACGTCTCCGGGTTCAACCGGCCTGTGTCGAGACTGAACACGCGGAAGGGCCGCCCCGTTAACCAGGCATACTCGATCAGCGCCACATCCTCTGCGCCGCTGAAAACCGAGAAGAACTCCCGATTAACCAAACGGAAGCTCACACTTCACGCCAGTTCTTTTCTCTCTTCGCTACTTTTATTAAATATAAAACTCGCTCATCTATAGTAAAATTCGTTCATCTCATGCTTGCCCAAAAGATTTATCGGTTAAATCAATTCGATTAGTATCTTTAATGTCGAAATATATACCGCTCCTTCGCGCGTCAGTCCTCTAATCTTGGTTACCTGAATGCGATGGCGATGTCGTTTCCAAACAAATCCAGCGCCTTGTCGATGATCACCAGCGGAGAGGCCGCCTCCAGTTCCTCGGCGAGCTTTTCGAAATCCACCTCTTCCAGCTTTGTCGCTGCTTTCTCCGCAAATCCCGCCGCCTCTCCAGCAACTGACGAAGAAAGGGCCGCCCGCGGGGCCACCGAGCCTCTCCCTCTCCTCGGCCCCACCCCTTCCATCAATCGAACCAGTGGCCTTCTCCGGCCGGTGATCACCGCGGAAACCTCTGCCGGCCTCCCGGATCCGATCTGAGCCCCTGCTATTGCGAGCAGAAGAAGAGGCGATATAGGTTAAAAATCCCAGAAAAGTTATCCGGAAACCTAATACTTAGACCCACATAAAAGTATCATAAATGAGTGGAGGATGTTGAGTGCCATACCTCTAAGCTCGTGCAGGACGAAGGATTGGGATGAAGAGAGGCAACCCGAAATGGAAGCAGCCACCGTCGCCATGGCGGAAGAACACACTGCTTCCACGCCCCGAGTCCTCTCCTCTTCGCCTCGTCTACCCACCCCAACGCTTCTTCTCTCACACTGCTTTACTAGCTACTCCACTGGCCCAAGAAGTTCTGGGGAGCGGAAAACTGGCTGTGAGGCCAATTTATAACTGCGTAAGTTCATTGAACCTGGACGCAATATCTCCCATGGCTCACAGAAGGTCAACGCTGTCGCGTGGGCAGCGAAAATTCCTTGAGTCGTCGCCGTACCGGGCTGTCGTCACGCACATCGTCATCCTACTCTATCACCGGAAACGGCACTCTAATTAAGTATAATAAGCTTTTCTTAACGAAGTATCACATCGATATTAGTAAATGATTTAGTTACCTAATATGGATCTATCTCTCCGTACCACTGATCGCGTAGAACATAAACTGTCGACAGTTGTTGACATTAGTACATGAGAGAGGCGCATGACGACACAAAGACAGCCACAACGTTTAGAAGACTTTTGCCCATGTGGACATTATGTTTGAGATTACGAGCTCAATTATTCGTCATGTTCTACATGACCAAAGTGAAAGGTACACTCATTAGTCTATTATTCATAATATTAGAGGGGTTGGTACAAATTTTTATCTTACATGGGACTAAAGTTGAATTTTATTTTTTATATGCTTGGATAGTCACAACGACGGGACATTCTTCAGTTATAGCATCTGAATCCAACACTTAGAGTAGTCTCCAAGTTGTATGGATAATTGTGGCTAAGATTAGGAGAAATATAAGCTTTGGCAAAATAGTGTAGGTTTTAGAGTTTTAATTGAACAGATGAAAGAGTGACCACGCACTTACTGTCTAAGGCTCAAGAAGATCTAGTGGCCCAGCCCACTATGGCCAACCCTCACATAAAGGCCGGAGGGGGAGGCACAAGAAGTGGGCATGATAGAACCATGGGTTAACTTCTCCTCTTCTCTCTCAGGTGCGCAACCGCGGCATCCTCTCTCCTCCGGATCAGTGCAGACTAGTCTCTGTCTTTCCCTTCCCCCTTCTTCTCTCTATTTTGCACATCAGACTCTTTTCCCCTTCCTTTTGAGGCTCTTGTAAGGCTGGGACCTTATCAGACCTCCTAATGACTTTGGTGGGCCCCTCAACTGTATGGATAATTGTCACTTGTTCCCATGGCTTCTGCCTTGGATGGTGATATGGTGGTGCGTTGAATTTGGGCACAATCTAATTGGCCACCAAAGTGGCGTGTCCTTGATTGGTCAACCCTGTAAATTGGGGGAGGGGGATGAATATTGTTCTACCCATCGCTGTGCACAATGTTGTCTATAATTTGGTGCTCAGAATTAATTAAATCAAGTTAATCTTTTAAGCAAATAAATGTAGTACTAAATTGTAAAATAAATAATATTTAATTGATCTACAATGAAATAAATTCCATCAGAAATTTCAGCAATATTGACTTTTGCTACTTCGCTTCAATTATACCACAAAATTGATTGTGAGAGATTCAAGAACAAGAGGTCAGGAGGACACTCAAATGCAACTTCAGTTTTCGCTTGTGCAAGTTTGCAAACAGAGTTTGTGGAGTCGGTCGGACGAGTGGAATCGGACATCGTACTCATCCGTATGGCGCGATATCTTCTGGAGAAAGCGCGCGAAGTGTTTAGCCTGTATGGTCCCAGACTCAGGAGAAAGATCTCAGCCGCGCGTGAGGCCGGACTCCCCTGACCTGACCTTCTTTTATTTAATATACGAATTTATAACTTGCGTCTATGTCTCTCTCTCTCTCTCTCTCTCTCTCTCTCTCCATTTATATCTACTGATATCTGCCAAGATTCAGGTCGATATTAAATAACCTGGTATGTACGGGCAAGTGTCTACTCCGAAGAGCTCGGAAAGTCATCGTCCCATCGTCCCACACCACCACACAGTGAGAAAAGCCAGGAAGAAATTCTCTGCCCAGAGTTTCCATCTGCAGTCATCCATCCGTGCCAGTTATCGTGTCAATTGAACAGGCTTGCCCAAACTGTGTCCACCCCAGTCTGGCCTGGTCCGTTCAACAAAAGTGATCGCCAACGTCATCTTCATCCCCAGGACGAGATCAAAAGGGTCTGCGCAAAAGATGGCGAGGAGCACTTTGGAGTTCTTCAGCTCTTGATCACATACTCTGGACCGTCAGCAACAGCCCGTAGTGATCACTCGGCAAGACCGGGAGCACAATAGTCTTCATCTCCTTCCTGACCTTCTTCTCCTTCAAGTAAGAAAGACCGGGTATCGGCTCCAGCCCGATCATGTCGATGCCGACGATCTTGAAGTCGGGCAAGTTGCAGATGAAGCGATCCACCCTTTTCTGGAGCGCCCGATTCCCCGATAGCATCGGATTAGACTTGGTGTCATAAGTCCAGCCATTCTCCTCTGGCCTCAGCTCCGCCCAGGCATCGGTCCAGCCCGCCGCCGCCGGGGCCGGGAAGGCACCGTCGAGCTTCTCGTCCCAGTTCATATCGCCGCAAAAGATGGCATTTCGTGCTCTGCCGAGCATCTGAACGGAGTCTTTTGCCTGAGCCACCCTCTCCTTGCTGTACATTTGATCCCACTTGGGAGGCCCCGGGCAGGGGCTCTCGAGATGGCTTGTGGCTACGACGAGGATCTTGCCGGCTCCAATGTCGATATCGGCGATGCAGAGCTCTCGCCCCATTATGGAGTTGCCGAATGGCTGGCATTTGAATGCTTTCACCGGCAGCTTACTCATCTGAGAGCAAAACTAGAGCGATGAGAGAACACCCGAGAGAAGAATGGTGAAGGAGATTTAACATTCCAATCGAAATGGGCAGAATTTTCGAGCTATAAAAACACCCTTTTTCTCTCTTCTTTCTTTCCTTACAAAAACTGACCTTTGCATGAGTTCCAGTTGAACCTAATAAGCTTGGTGACCCAGGAATGACAAATAAATAGTAGACTACAAACCTCACTTGGAATAGCAAAATTTGCCACACTTGGAACGAAATCTAGTCCACGATTCCTTTCTTTGCTAGATTTTCCTATCAACGCCTCTTCATTAGAACTCTATTTAAAGCACATCTACACGGGCTATCCAAAGCGTGCCTTAGATTTTTCTACGTTTTGATATTTTACCAGAATTTCTTGGGAGAAAAAGGGTGTGATGAGAACTGACCGACAACAAGGTTGACCAGCCGACTCAACTCACCTCATTTGCTTCCATCTAATATCGTCGACAAGAACAGGTCGGCGCATTAAATTGCCCTGGATTTTAGAAAAATCGAAAACCTGGGGACTAGTAGAAATCTGCTGATGAGAACTTAGCCCGCACCAGGCCATGGCCCAGGCATTGACAGCTTTCCGATGGTTCAGAATGTTAAGCGCGTGCCAGATCAGAAGGAAGAACTCTAGTGAGCAGGGAAAACCAAGATAAAAAGACGTCGACGATATTCCAGGCACGAGATGCGGAATGAGAACGCAACATAATCGGTGAAATAAGCAGAGAAACAGGGGGACGCGGAGAAGAGGATTTTGATGCTTAACCTGCATACAAAAATATACTCTCATGGCGGCCATCTCCCGAGGAACAGAGCATTCGTAACTCTTCCACCAACTGGACGCTTGGAAAATCTTGTAGATATTGGGGGTGACTTCCTGCACAACGAAGGCTACGATAGCTGTTCAGGGGCGAAAGAATTATTTGGTATGATTACGGGGAGAAAAGAAAAATGGGACCTGGAGACAGATTATGTCTGGAGAATGCTGCTGAATGAGGCGCCCGAGAGCATTCATTCTCTCCTCCAGTTCCAAGTCTTCACGAAACCAGACATTATAGCTCAAGACTTTCAAAGTATTGGGTGCTGACCTTGACCCAAGCTCCGCATCCTCTGTATCACATGCCGAGATTACACCACAAGTGATCGAGAAAATTATATGAGATAGAAAATAATGCACCAAAACTATTGGAACCCAGAATGCAGAAAGAGTTCAGCGGGTTGGTTCATTCATTGTCCATAGCCGTCAAATATTCTCTGAAAGGCTCGATAGATTTCAAAGACAGAAGAGATGACTGAGGATTCGCACCAACGTCCTTGTCACAGGATTCGTTTCCGAAGGGAGTTTCAGACAAGTTCTTCGTCGGATGGGCTTACTGATCTTTTACATGTCGCACCCTCAAACACTACGACGAAGAAATCATGTTCATGTCAGAGAATGGGTCTCCTTCGACAGAGGTATCCGAGTAAAGAACCGAGGAAATGTGGGTGGAAAGAAAATGCGAGCAAGAACATCCGGACTCCGGCCCTAATCGCAAACCCTAGTCTTCTTTGGCACCTTGAAGCGGGAGTTAGAAACGGAAAACACATTCTCATGAATATCAGATAGAAAAGACATACATTATTAGTATCGCGGAAGAAAGAGGGAATGAAGATAGAATGCGGACAAAAAATGAAGGCGCACCGACTGGAATGGAGCCGGCTTCATTCCTTGCGAGCTTCTCTCGCGAGCGGTGGTCGTCCATGGAGACGCAGGTTTCGGCGTCAAGATCACGCTTATCACCGCAGCGGCGGAGCTGGAAGACGGAGCCGACTGAGGGGCCCACCGGAGGATTTGCATCAGGGCCAGAGGAGGGTTCCTCCACCAAGGTGGCGCCGTCATCAACGAGGATGGTGGAGGTGAGGGCCGGCGTGGTCCCGCACACCTCGCAGGAGTGGAGTCCCGCCAGATTGTCAAAGGTGCAAGCTCTGCAGGACCACCTCGGCGGAGAGGATGACGAGACAGCGGCGGCCGATGCGGAAGAAGGGGAGAGGCAGACTAGACAGGAGAACAACCGAGACGGGGGGTTGAGAAACGTGCAACGCGAGCAGGGCCACGGTGAGGAGGAAGGGGCGGCGCCGGCCATGGACACTCCACTCCTCTTCCCCGCCCTAATGCATCTCCAAGAGAAGAAGAGCGATAGCCCAGAGATCAGCCCATCGCTCTATTTCGAGAAAGAATGTAGATTTAATAACCTCCTGGATTTCCTGAGTAACCGGGAAACCACTAGGAATCCAGGTTTAAACTTACAGAAGTCCGCAAGCTTTCCATTTCCTGAACCACACGACGAGGAACAACATTCCAGAATATTTTACCCTAAAAAACTCTGGAAAACAGCTCTTGCGGCCTTTCGGCCCCGGTTAAGGAGAAAAGAAAGAAGTCAGCCCCTATCAGGCTGTTCTTTTCTGGTTGCGTGAGAAAGGGAGGGAGAAACAGCGAGCGAGAGAGAGAGAGAGGACCTGACAGGGGGGGTGTGGGGCCGGCGCCAATTTAGGGGGTACGGGAGCAGAGGGGATGCTTCATGATTTGACCAAGAGTAGGAGAAAAGATTAACAGCCGATAGAAGTAGTGTTCAAGTCATGTGTATACTGTTTTACGCCGTTTACACTTCTCATCAGGTGTGTGTGTGGGAGCATTAACCCTTCAGCGATCACCCACTAGAGTGATGACTTGTTGCGGATTTGAACGTGACATTATACGTTACACTTCATGGTAGTGTGGACGGATGACTTTTATATCATCTTCGGTATAAACTTCTTAGTGCAATCACTTTTTAAAATTTTGTTACAGTTGTGGAGAATGATTTATTGGGCCTTAATGGGCTACGGTGGACTCTTCAATGAAGACAATTTGATTTTAGAGACGTGTGTGTCCTTTGTTTTCTGTGTATTTTTTCTAACCCTATCAGACAACAGGGAGGGGACATTGCCCCTATTATGTTGCGGGTGCGATGATATGTTATATAAATATTGTGTGCTGCTCCGTCAGAAGGGTGTAGAATCAATCTAGTTTGCCCCTGGGCAACACGTCAGAAGGGTGTTATATAAATATTCTCATGCCTGAAAAGACTAAGATCCTGGACATAACATAGGAGGACTCTACGAACCAAGTTAAATCTAGTTTGCCCTTTTTTTTTTGGCTCTCTCTCTCTCTCTCTCTCTCTCTTATGTGTTGGCCTTCTGCCGTGCAGGAAGGTAAACGGCAGCGCTTGTCTTCGCATGCCATCTTTCCTCCGTTTACATAGTCTTATTCTTGAACGAGTATCAAGGTCACAGGTGACGTAGCTCGTAGGATGGTATCACCGTGAGAAATCTACCTACAAAGGTGGAAGCAGATTCAAGGCTAATCATGAATTTACAAGGGTAATTAAAAGAGCCTTTCTGGCCCCCCTACTGGTCCCCTCAGACACATCCACTCCCATATCCTGAACTCACGTCAGTACTGGAGCGTGATCTTTTTGTCAAGTTCAAGTCCGCCCCCCCGCCCCCCCCGCCGGGTCAGCAGAATAAGATAGTCGGTTGAATTTAATGCACCGCGTGGAAGGTTGCTTTCCAGAACGGGTTGAGCACTTAGAATATTCGCGAGGTTTCTCGTCGATCCACACGTCTATTTATGAGAATTGACGTCATCTCAGTTGTCATACTTGATGCTACCTTGTTGACCTCTAGGCATCCCGACCTGCCAATGAGATTGGATCAATATTTCCGCGAATGATCGAGCACAAACCAGAGGAAGAAGGTGACTGGTATTTGGAAGTTGAAAGCCTTTTAAAGCTCTAGATGGCATGCATGGATTTTTGTGCAAACCTTGACTTACCAAACTTGAAAGACCGAAAGAGGAATCTCCATACGCTCATAAGATGAAAACCCGATGAAAGTCCAGCGAAAGACGACTACTAATGTAACGTTCCAACGAGAAGGGTTACGTGCTCAGAGGGGAAGCGATGGTCGCGGCGAGGATGGCGTCTACCACGTCGTCAAATCGGTTTCCAAAAGTCAGACCCTTGACCGAGGAAAGTGGACACCAGAATTTTGTTTGTTTGTGTGTGTGTGTGTGAGAGAGAGAGGGACGGGTGCAAGAAGACAAGCATATAAGGGAGATTTGACGTTTGATTGCCAATTGAACTAATTAAATGAGATAGATTAAGGATAAACTGAATATTCCACACGGTTCAACCCCCTATCATCCTGTCATCAAAGTTTTCTTTTCACGCCGAGTGAGGTCAGAATCGCCGTAGGGCATACAGCTGCTGTGAAAACCCTGACTCGCGGGTGTTTTCTCATTGCACAGACAGAGCGATCATCCCTTTTGTCGGAATGGATCGCCAAAATCGTTTGGCACCGTGAGAGGACGGAATGTGTTGAGTGCATCATTATAACACTACACATCGACCTGTCTAATACCTTATTCTTAAACCTTACATTTATCTTATGACTTCCTCGCAAGGAACATAAATTTTTGATTACATTAGCTTCTCACAGACGTTATCTCTTTCTTGTACAAGATACCTGGAGAGAGTTGCGTTCTTTTAAACATATAATAAGCCACATTTATAAGTTGCAAAGAGGCCTCGTCGAACAAGTCAAACACTTCACCTCGATGAGCGGTTTTCTTGGGCATATTTGCGTTTGCGACTTTCGGAACCTTTTTTATTTCCAGTTGGATCCTCTGGCCCCCACGATACATTTGGACTATACTTCTAAATCTCAAGGGTTACCGAGAAAGAGGGGTATTTCTCGCGGATGTTTACATTTAGTGGCCTTCAACTGAGGAATACTCTTCGGTAAAAAATAATGAGTCAACGTTAGCCCCCGGTTAACTTGTCATAGGCTCGCTGGTTCTTAAGTTGGATCTTCCATTCAATCCTGAATACCAACCAAAGAAGTTTTCCACAAAGATCTAAGTGTCAATGGAAATCAGTTCGAAGATTGATTGACCAACGTACTCACACCTCTGTTAAAAAGTCTCCACAACTAGCCCGGTATCGTGGTTTTCAGAATCTAACGACTTATTTCTACAATTTAGACGTAAAAACCATAGGTACGATGTCAGATCTTCTACTTCTCAGGCCGTTGACCAAAATTATAAACGAACAGGAAGCTTCCTCTTTGCTTCTGCGGTGACCGCCAGTTCCCTTCTTCTGACGACACTGAGCGGCAAGGGGTCACCGATATTGAGGGATGGGAGCTTGCTGACGCGGCTTTGGAGCTTTAAATGCCTCCACTGTCCAGGTAAACGATAAAGAGGGATTGCAACATGATTCCCTGACTTCATGCGATAAGGAGACTGGAATAGCGAGGGAGAGTGAGAAAGATTTCTCTTTGAGATAATCAATCAATCCAGGGGAAATAAGATAGAAAGAGATGCCTGATAATGGTGACGCCCTTGTACTCTTCTCTTGCTTGACTGGGATTTCTTACTGCTGCAAGTAACTGCACTGCGAAGTGGAGAGGAAGTTTCCACGATAAAGACCCTCTATATTATAAAGCCGTAGGCCACCAAGAGCAAGCTTCATTCAACCCCCGATCGACAGACCTTCATTCAAGAGCCTGCTTCTCTTCCTTGTGGTCGGTACTCACTGGAGGCTGAGGTCCGTAGCCCTTCATGACGGAGAGAAGACTCTTCCCGGTTCTCTTCTCCATCTTCTTCCTCGTCTTTTGTCTCTCCCATGGTCGTCGGGGAAACTTGGCGGCGGCTGGGAGGACGCCGGTGTCTGTCCCTGTGGGCGTCGTGCTCGATTTCAAGACTTCGTTCGGTAGGATGAGTACAACGAGCATTTCCCTGGCACTGGAGGATTTCTACTCCGTTCACGCCAACTACACCACGCGGCTGCGCCTCCACACGAGGGATTCGAAAACAGACGTCATCGGAGCAGCTTCTGCAGGTACGCCACAGTGCTAGAACTTGACGGTGGGGGACACGAATTTCCACACAATTTTTCCAGAGGAAATGAGGCGGAACTGAATCCTACAAAAATTATCCGCCAGACTGCCGTCTAGGAAATCGAGTACCTTTAGACTGCCGTCGAGGAAAACCAGTTTTTTGTGATGACAGTAATATTACAAACTCATCCGGGAAGTCAGAACCGGGGCACCAAGTTCAATTTTTTGTCTTCCTGTCATGCAAGGTTGTGCCGAGGTGACTGTGAGAGATGGGGGGAGAGAGAAAGAGAGAGAAAGATGGAGGAAGGGAGACAAAAGGAAGAGCAAGGGGAGAGACTGCTGATAAAAGTTTTTACACATTACACTATTGTCAAGAGTGAAATAAATCTGCCCGTCCATGACTCAATCTTCAGCCTAACTCCTCAGGGAGTTCTTAAATCTTTCCAAAAGTTTTCCTCCCAGCCGGATGAGTCTGTTACCTTCTAAAAGTTTTTCCCAGAGAATCTCAGAGTTTTAATAAGGTCAGGGACCGTGTGGACTTCTACCAAGACGTTCTTGATTCCCATTCAAACAAGAAGAAAGCATATTATCAAAACCGAATGCGACACCTCGGCTTATTTTATATTTCGGCGCCTCGTGACTGTGATTTATGCTTTATTTTCCTCCGAAATCGCTCTATCCTATTGCGGGGTATAGTATCTTATGGGCAGGTGGACCCCTAGCTCCATTGGCAGTACATAATTCAAATCGTTGAAATTCGTTAGGTTTTGCACAGCCACTGGAACAGGATAGGAAAGACACGATATTTTCAAATCGACATTTGGGTACCGTTCACACAGACAACAGCCCCGCGGCGTCTTTGTCCAAGGAGAGCCTTTGAGGCCGTGGACACTGCACGACGATCCTCCCGAACGCTCAGGATTCCGGTGCATCGCCGACGTTTTATACTTCCTAGTCACTCTGATTTGACTATTTTTTACAAGTATTTTCCTCGCAGATTCTGGTTTTCCACAAATAGAATTTTATCGACAACCGTCGACGTTTTATCGCTCATTTGACGTTTTACCCCGCAGCATAATTTTATCGACATCGTTTCTGATATTTCGGACATGATCTTCTGTGCCTGCAGCTCTGGACCTGATGAAAAATGTCCGTGTCCAGGCTATTATGGGGCCCGTAACATCATCGCAAGCAGAATTCATTGTAAATCTAGGGAATAAGACAAAGGTTCCGATCGTTTCCTTCTCGGCCACGAGTCCCTCCCTTTCGCCAGCACAATCACCTTATTTCGTGAGGACCGCCTTGGATGACTCCTCTCAGGTGAGATGCATAGCCTCCATCCTCAAGCTTTTTGGATGGAGACAGGTGGTGCCCATATACGAGGACACGCGATATGGCAGAGGCATTATACCTTACCTCGTCGACGCTCTCCAAGATATTGACGGCCGGATCCCCTACCGGAGTGTGATTCAACCTTCTGCCTCCGACGATAAGATCAAGGAGGAGCTCCTTAAATTGAAGACCATGTCAACGAGAGTGTTCGTCGTGCACATGTCGCTCTCTCTCGCCTCTCGTCTCTTTCTCTTGGCTAGCGAGAATGAAATGATAGAGGATGAGTACGTCTGGATTGTCACTGACGGAATGACGAATCTGCTGGGCTCCATGAATACTACTATAATCGAGTCCATGCAAGGGGTACTCGGCGTGAGGCCGTACGTTCCCAAGTCGCCTAGGCTCGCCGATTTCACGCGACGGTGGAGAAGGAAGTACCAGGAGGAGAACCCAGACGAAGAAGCCACAGAGCCTAGTCTCTATAGCCTATGGGCGTACGATACTGTTTGGGCATTGGCAATGGCTGAAGAGAGTTTGGGCGTCTCAAAACCAGGATTTCAGAGCGTTCAAATAGGAAACGACTCCACCGACTTGGGGGCTCTCGAGGTATCTCAGTCGGGTCCAGATCTTCTAAAGGCGATAAATAAGGTCCGGTTCGAAGGCCTCGCAGGAGAATTCCACCTTGTTAATGGGCAGCTTCAGCCGTCTGGTTTCCAGATCATCAACATCAATGGGAAGGGAGGAAGGAATGTCGGATTCTGGATGGCAGAAAAGATCTCACGGTGGCCGAGCTCCCGGGGAAAAATCATGCAACAGGCATCCTCGACCGATCTACCTATCATATGGCCGGGCGAGAGGAGGTACGCACCTAAGGGGTGGGTGATACCGACCAGTGGGAAGAAGCTGAGGATCGGCGTCCCGGTCAAAGATGGATTCAATGAGTTTATGAAGGTAGAGCGGAACGTTAATGGCAATCAGACTGAAATCACCGGTTTTTGCGTGGACGTTTTTGACTCCGTCATGAAGATCATGCCATACAACGTCCCATATAAATATGTACCTTTTGAAGATGTTAACGGAAAGAGTGCAGGGTCTTACAATGACTTGGTGAATCAAGTGGCGGAACAGGTAACTTTTCTGTATGCTAGAATCTCTTCAATTTGACGTTACCATCTCGAAATTAGGTCATCGATGCTTCATGTCGTTAGTGCTCCTTAATAACGGTTAGGGGTAGCATGAGGATTTGACAAGATTTGAAGGAATAATAGATTTAAGTTTTTCCATTCACATTTCACGATGATTTTTATTTTGGGGACAGCGTTTGAAGTTTCAATCTCTTATCGATTGATATGTACACAGGTTTACAGATATTGTTCTAACACTCTTGCAAAAACACAGGGATACGACGCTGTGGTTGGCGACACGACGATCTTAGCTAACCGATCGAGGAACGTAGACTTTACGCTACCCTTCACAGAGTCAGGTTGGACAATGGTCGTCCTAGTAAAGGAGAACAATGGGAAGAGTGGGTGGATTTTCGTGAAGCCCTGGAGGAGCGACCTCTGGATCGCCAGCTTCGCCTTCTTCGTCTTCACGGGCTTCGTGGTATGGATGATAGAGCACCGGGTCAACCCAGCGTTCAGGGGTCACCCTACGCAGCACCTCGGCCGGAGCTTCTACTTCACATTCTCGACGATGGTTTTCTCCCACAGTTCCGTATTTCACGCTATCCCCTCTAAGCATTCCTTCGTGAACGTTTTTCCTTAGCCACTGGGTGGTGAGGTGTGGTTCTGTGGGTTCTGTGACTGCAGGAGAGAACGTGGAGAGCAACTTCTCAAGGCTTGTGATCATTGTGTGGGTTTTCGTCGTGCTTATCCTGCAGTCGAGCTTCACGGCCAATTTGGCGTCGCTTCTCACAATCCAGAAGCTGGAGCCCGCCTTCACTGATGTCCAAGAGCTTTTGAACGGTGGGCATAACGTCGGCTATCAGGAAGGCTCCTTCGTATATAACCACCTCAAAGAGCACCTCCATTTTGATGAAACACGCATCAAGAAATATGAGAATCCTGATCAGTACGCTGAGGCGCTATCTAAGGGGACGTATAACGGGGGAGTTTCTGCCATTTTCGACGAGGTTCCGTACATCAAGGTCTTTCTTTCGAAGTACTGCTCTAATTACACCATGGCCGGCCCCGTTTACAAGGCCGATGGCTTCGGATTTGTAAGTTCCCATTTTACAACTTCTGGTATTCCCATTCCCTAATAGGTGTAGGTATATATATATATATATATATTATCTGTTAAGTTTCTGTCATGTAAATGTATATATGGCATCATAGGGACGCCGGCCCCTATGATGCCAAGGATCAGGACTGGCATTGACTTCGATTTTATTTGAGATGCGTTTCAGGTCTTTCCAAAGGGCTCCCCTCTTGTAAGAGACGTTTCCTCAGCCATTTTGACAGTCACAGAGGAAAAAACAATGAGAGATATCGAGAAGAAGTGGTTCGGGGACAAGACCGTTTGCAAGAGCGAGGGGAGCCACTTCAGCTCCGGCCGTCTCACCCTAAAGAGCTTCGAGGGACTCTTCTTTATAACTGGGGCCGTGTCCACAGCGTCCCTCCTCCTGTTTCTTGGCAACTTTTTCTTCCAGAATCGCAAAAAGGTCTCATCCGACGAAACAGAGGATTCTGTCTGGAAGAGGGCGACCTCGAGAGCGGCCGCATGGGCGAAGCACTACGACAAGATGAGTCTCCCTAAAAAGGAATGGAGCCGACGCGTCAGGGACGTTCCGAGCCAAGAGGAACGACCTAGAGGAGACGTTGAAGAGGATAACTCGCTAAGTTCCCACGGCCGCAACTCCCTTGAAAGCGTTTCCAGGACCGAGTCGGAAGTCTCGTATTCTAGTGAGATGGAGAGCCCACGAATGCCTGCGGACCCGCCATTTCAGATAACTGTAGCAAGGTAGCGACGACGAACGCCGTCCCACTGCTCAGCTCTCCACATGCTTCAATCGGGTGTAATCATAGGAAGTTGTGAAATGTACCGTGTAAATAAGCAGAGGTCTTAAGGCGAAAGAGGCCAGGGATCCGTCGTTCGCTATAACATGACCCATAAACATCATCAGTCTATGGTTGATTATGGTTGATTTCCTTAGGTAATGTTGGTCAAAAGTCTTGACTTTATTCAATACATGCGTGACTGACTCGCTGACATGAGCATCCAAGGAGTGGATCACCGTCCCCGCGTCGGCTGATTAAGGGATGATTTTTTCGTTATTATCCAGAATTTTTTCATCAATTTTTATTTAACATGCGGAGGAGTAAATAACCTCTGGTATTGCGAGATTATGGCAGAGAAGAAGAATTATCGACCTTCAGAAGTTACCTTTCATTGCCATTCGCGTGAGGGAGAGGCTGTGAGAGTCATTGTTCATCCACCATTCGCCGCCAACCTCCACCGTCCTCCATCCACCGTCTGCCGCCGTTATCCACCGTTCGACGCCCTTCGTCCACCGTCCGCCGCCCGCCGCTCGCCATCCATCGTCCGCGGCCGTCGAATCGTGCCCATGGCCACCCTCGGTCCAAAGACGATTAGGCGTCGTTTCGTGCTGTCGCCGCCGTCGCACGCCCCGTCGTCACCCCCTACCACTGCTGCCCGCGCCGCTACCAGCGTGCTACCGCCGAACTCCGCTTCGCCTTCTCACTGCTTCGGGCTTAAGTCTCCACCGGATCGTGCCACAACGAACCGTCGGACCTGAACCGACCAGACTCCGCCAGATCCAAGCCGATCAGCGAGCCGCCACGCCCGAACAACCGACCTACCTTGTCGTTCGCTGGCCCAACAGTTAGACGGTCAACGATCAACAGTACGTCCTTGGTCAATACCCGGTCAACAGTCAACAGTCAACAGTCACCAGTCAAGAGTCTAGCTTCGACGTGTGCTCCGGCGCCTAACAGTCGCCCGCTTTGGCATAGTAGTAATCTCTAAATTCTTTATTTCTTTAGCGTATTGGTTATAGGATTGAGGATCAAGTGATCAGCAGATGACTATACTTTGTGCCATATAGTTGGTGGAGAATGTTGTGAAGCTTATTGATTTCAGTTAGTCAAGTTATTGTGATTGAAGCGTTCTAATCCTAAGCAGTTCCTTAACTAAGTCAGTTCAACCCATGTCAACTCTTGTGAGAGAGTACTCGAATTGGTCTTGGTGAACTCTTCTAAACTCACGGACCTATTGCGAGAATCAGTCTAGCTTGCTTATTTCCGATTTGTCTAATCATCCCATAACTCCTCGGGCCACTTGCCCATGTCGGGTTGTTCTGGATGATTTATTAGGTCTTCTGGTTGGCCATGCCTAACATATTGAGCTGGCGTGCCGCTGGGCCTTTGGCCTAACATGTCCAAGACATCTTAGCTTCAGTTGACTTGCACGCTACTATCCTATTTAGCTCTTGTTCTCTCGAACTCATCTTCTCTCCTCTTTGTTAATCCAACTCTCTTGATATCATATTTGTTTATGTCATTGTGGCCTCTTCTTCATCTCCTATACTTGAAAAGTATAAACAAAGAACTCAATAAACTTATGATTAACATAATCAAGGGTTATAAGGAATCGAGAATAAAATTTTGTAAGTTTCTATTTACTCTTTTTGGGATAGTATCATTATTTTCTATGTCTATCAAAAAAATATTCCGAGTAAAATCCCTATAATAATTAAAACCATTCAGCTCTTTACTTATTTTTTCATGGATTTGCTAATAATTTTCCCCAATGTCTTTTAAAATATCTCAGTCAGAAATAGTGATAGTCACTAAAAACTAGGCTTTTACCATATCTAGATCTCTTCAATATAATAAAGATTATGTGGTTGAGATTGTTGATAAAGTTATCAAAATTAGCAATATTGATTTCTGAAGTTATTGAAGAACCAAAGCTCAGTTGAGTCCATCTCAATGTTCTCTAACTGACATGATAATATCAAAACAGGGGCGAATTGATTGTATTTTTTTTTCGCTTAAATATTAAATATCTAGACAATAAAATTTCACGTGGTAGTCATCAACAAAATTGCACGAAAATTTTACGGTGGTTTGATCTTATTGACTTACATCCGCTCTTTAAGAATGTTTTATGTTTCACTGATATCTTAGTATTTTGCACTGAATTTTTAGTCTTCGTCTGCCTTCTCGTTGGATTCAGAAGCTCCAGGCAGTCTAAAATCTTCTTTGGGTTCATGGCTCTGGGGTCAAACTAAAGCTCTCCTGTTCTCTCTCATATATATATATACATATCACAACTCTAAGTGACCTACTTCTTTATTCTTAGAGTGCAGGTTCTAGGAGAACCTTATTTCTCACGATGTAATGTAAATAAGTAGTTACCCAATTAAGATCAACAATATGGTAGTGGTGTTGAATTCATTTGTGCTTACTTGAGCTGAATGATTGGTTGTCGAATCAACGGACTGATGGTTAGAGATGTAGAGCACATAGATGAGATGAATAGATCATTCTATTATCCTTTCCCTTGCTATCGAAGGTAAACGGTGTGAAGCCTTCTCGTTCTTTCCCACGAGTTCTTCTTTCTCTCTTTTAAAGAGATTCAAGATCCTTTTATCCTGGATCCAATACACCTTCGGTTAAAAGTCCACTAACCAGCTCACATAGATTTCAAATTCAACCCCATTAGCTTGATCTATTACTCTTTAACTTTGACTAAATCAAGATAAAATGTCAGGTATGGTAAACACTAATCAAATATAAAGAACCAAGCTGATTTCATTAAATTTTGTTTTCCATGGCATTATTATATCATCATTTTAAGGAGAAAAATCGCCGTCCAAGCACAAAGTTCTGAGAGACAGTTTCGCCCGGTCTTCGGAGAAAGAGACGGGATGTTGCGCGATCATTTCCACTCAAGGAAGATGGAGAGGGATGCTGCATGAACCCAACGAGAAGATCACGTAAGGGAGAATTATTATTTATGATTTGATTTCGGTGTCCTTCAGAAAGTGTAGACTGGCGTTTTGACGGCAGTTGTGATCTCTTCCCCAATTTCCCGTACCTCCCAGGGTCCAGCAAGTGTTCCTCTAGTGGCTACACAGCAGGCGCTGGAAAGTCTTCTCCCGTCGATTACGAGCACAAGTTCTCGGAAGTTTATCAATAAGTTCTACAAGGTAGTTCCAAGTTTTTTCTACTCCCACTTGGTTCTTCTCAGATTCGACGGGTCCCATCATTGGTACAGTGGGATTCAGTCAGACGGAAACCAAGACAAAAAACAGTCTTCCGGGAAGTTTCCTGTGATCGACGAACTTGAGCTTGATTCTGAAAGATAGAGAGGGTGGCTGGAAGATAGTCTCAAAGATAAAATGGGGGTTGTTCCTCTTTCCCTGGACATCGGACTCCACAAGCTCTCTCTCTCAATTCGAGGCTGCTTTCTTCTCCATGATCTATGATGGACACAAGTTTCACAGTAGTTCTCTTTTCCCTTTTGGTCGTGTCTTCGTTTTCCATGATCGGCCGGTGGCTTTTGGCCGTGGCTCACTCCTCACCGGTGCGGTTACACGTGGGTGTAGTGCTTGATTTTGAGACATTGATTGGGAGGATGTGCCGTACAAGCATATCCCTGGCAACACATGATTTCTACGGCACGAGTGAAACCTACAACACGACGCTTACCATCCACGAGCGGGATTCCCACGGAGATGACATCGGGGCGGCTTCAGAGGGTGTGCAAGTCTATCGACTTGTTTTTCTTAGAAAGTAGCTTTATTTTTGTACTTAATTGCCATCTAGTAGCTAGCGTATAACGCAGATCACGAATAAACGCCGTCTTCGTTTGTCTTCCCTCTGAAACATGGACAGTTTTCCTCTCATATGACTTAAAGAATGTAATTAGAACCATGTAATGTTTTCTCTGGAGTACTCCCTTTGAATAGTATATAAATCACCGATGACATTTGAAATAGATGAAGTTTTGACTTGAGACAAATGGAGAGTTACTGTCGGTTGATTTTTCCCCTGACGATGCAAACATGATCTTCCACGCCTGCAGCTCTGGATCTGGTGAAGAACGAACAGGTGCAGGCGATTATTGGCCCGTTGACTTCCTCTCAAGCCGAATTCGTCATAAAAATTGGGACCAAGAGCCGTGTGCCAATTATTCCGTTCTCAGCGACCAGTCCCTCCCTCTCGACACTTCAGTCGCCCTATTTCGTGAGAACAACCATGAAAGACTCCACTCAGGTGGGATGCATAGCTTCCATCATTCATCTGTATGGCTGGAGGGAAGTCATTCCCGTCTATGAAAACACCCTTTACGGCAACGGTATAATATCCTACCTCTACAAAGCCTCCCAAGAAATAAACACGTGTATTCCATATCGGAGCGTGATCGAGAGTTCTGCCTCCGATAATCAGAACAAAGAGGAACTCGACAAACGGAAAAACATGTCGACGAGGGTGTTCGTGATGCACATGTCCTCTGCCCTTGGCTCCCGCTTATTTCTCCTGGGCCCCGATGCGGGTATAATGCGAGAGGGGTTCGTATGGATCATCACAGACGGGATAGCAAACCTGCTGGAAACCATGGACTCTTCCGTAATCCAGTCCATCCAAGGAGTCATCGGAGTGAGGTCTTATGTGCCTCAGTCCGAAAGGCTGGTCAACTTCACGACGCGGTGGAAGAGGAAATTCCGGGAGAACAACCCCGAGGAAGACCCACGTGAACCCAGTGTTTACTTTCTGCGGGCATACGATACTGTTTGAGCGCTGGCGTTATCTGCGAATAACTTGGCAAACACAAGACCAACATTTAAGGAGGTGCAATCTATGAACAACTCAATGGACTTGGGTACCTTCGGTGTGTCTTGAGGCAGATCGTCAGTTACTGGCAGCTTTAGCAAAGGCAAAATTTGAAGGGATGGCGGGAGTGTTTCAGCTTTCTGATAGACAGCTTCAGTTGTCT